CCAATTTTAATCTTAATTGCTCTTTTATAGTTAGTGTTAGCCTACTAATTATTACAAAAGAAAGATGTTTATTTTGTTTTTGTGCTGTTAGAACAACTAGGTTTTTCCTTTGGGAATCAATAAAGGCAGAAACTAATAATTGATTAGAAACCCTTACAAAGCGCGTATGAAGAAAGATCATCTTCCATTACTAATAGCCTGGGACAACTGTTTAAATTCTGACTGAAACGATAGTGTTGCCTGACATTTTTCTGCAGTGATACCAATTATTTAGTATAAGAAATGTGCCACTGCTGAATGTACTTAAGGACTCCGTTCAGGTCAAACTGTGATGCAGTTATTCATTCCGCGCTAATGCGTGTGACCCAGAATAGATCATTCAGGGGTTACGGTTAACGATTGGCTTCAATGACGGGAATCAGCCGGATCTCCCTCTGTTCTCTTGAACTTGAACCTTGAATGTCGATGTCAGACATGTCACCCCATCGACTGCAGCCCCGAGCGATGTCTGTGAACGGTATTGTATTTCTTGTACAGTAATCGGTAGTAAACACACAGGGAGATTGACCGGTGAACTTCCCATCTGTCGGTGCCATAAACTTTCCAACCGGGATGCCGGAAAGGCCGAGAGCCCCGACCTTTGACCCCCGGTCCCACTGCCTATCCTTGATATTGGGGCTCGTCCTTCCCTAGTGTGCCTGGCGCGGCTTCCCTTTTGATGCGCTTCACACTTTCATCCCAATTTTCTCCCTCTCTCTTTTTTTCTTCTTTTTTTTTTTTTTACATAAGCATGCAGAGCTACAAAGCACGGGCCGGAAAATTGGATTACCACAGTAACGGCATTTCTCAAATTCCCTCTTCTTCATATGGCCGTTTGGGAGCAGGACCAAGGCGCTGTGTCACCTCACAGTGGCTCATAACGAGGCGCAGCAGATACGCATGGCCGGCCCCATTGATCCATTGATCGCAGGCTCTCCCGTCCATAAGCTCAGACAACATGGAGTGCCCCGAGCAGAGCGCTGCAGGACACGATGAAGGGTATCGGCTAGCACAGTGGTGGGACGAGTCCTGAAAGGAGACAGTGGGGCCTTGAACTGTTCTCCATTCTCTCTTTCTCTCTCATGTCGCCTCTCCTCTCCCGTTCTCCCTCCCTCCCTCGTCTCTTTTTGTGTAACCCAACCGCAGTAAACTCATCCCCAGGATCCTTCTGCAAGGATTAATCAGTTTTCCATTCCTGGAGAGATTATTCAAATACTGTTACATCTACAGCCAGCAGCGGCACGATCCCTCCCTCCTCCCCAGGCAGCAGCACCGCACCGACTGAAGGAAAAGTCCTGCTTTCCTTTTAGTTCTGTGTTTTTTCCCTCCTCTCTGTATGTGTCTTTACACATTACTGCCATTGTTGACTCACGTCCGTAATTATCGTCCGCCGACGGTGTTGCACGTGAGGGCCTTCTCAAGCGCTGTGTGTGTTTTTGTCATTGGCTATGGCCGCTCTCTGTGTACATGAACACAGAGCGAGTGTACTCGCTTCTTGTGTAATCGTCCTCATTAGCGTTGGGAGGAGAACAGCCAGAGATCCTCACTGCACCAGACTGTAGGAGCTGTGACAGCTCCAGCAGGGTTCCGATCCTAATGCCTTTACCCCCCCCACCCCGCCGCACCCCTTTTCTCTCCCCAGGCCGCCTCGCACTCCTACCAACCCGCTCCATGCTTCCCTGTCCTCCATTTACTGCCCCGTCTTGTTCCAGAATAAGTAAAGGAAAGCAGCCAGTATTGTTCTTCATTTGTCGACGGGCCCCCTGGGGATGTTGTTGTGTTTTGACAAGATGAGATTAACGGGTGTCAGTAAGTAAACTCTTTGACGAGGACACCTGTCATGCAACCAATGGCTTTAAGCACCCTTCACTTCTGTCTCCTTTGTTTGGTCAATCCCAAAAGGTGTAGACCTTTTGAGTTCAGTTGAAGGGGCAGATAAATACATGTAGCGCAGAAAGGAAACCTTGTACGTTGCATAAAAACAGCTACTCGCTTGGGATAAGTGATGTTTCTTTGTAGACGTACAAACGGCAAACTGTTTGTGCTGTTCTGCTGTGTTTCTCTGTATAACATTGGTTCGTTTAATGCATAAAGTACTCGCTAAAAGCTATTACACTGTTTAACTGCAGGTTGGAGTCCGCAAATAGAAAAGGAGTGAGTGTGGAACAAATAACTAGAAGCTAGTTTTTATCTGCCTCTCAGACCTCCTCCTCCTTTCCACCCTAATTATTACCTCCAGCCTTTTGTTCAACTTCCCCCTTCTCTTCACATCACACTTCTTATGCCTCTCACCTTTCCTCCCTCCTTGCCTTCATCTCAAAGTGCTAAACCCACCTCACATGACACCCATCAGAGCACCCACCCAAACACAACCGCCAGACTCCCCCCCCCCCCACCCCCTCGCCGCTCCTTCTCAGCGCCGCCTGCTTGGCCTCCCCCCTTTTCTGTGCTCACCACACGCTCGCACAGACACATCATAGAGTGTCTTTGGGTTGTGACACTGCTGCTAATGCGGATTTCATACCCAGGCTGTGTGTTTTACACGGGATAATGAACATGTGCTTCAACCGCGTTGGACTTGGCGGTCTGCTTTCACAGCTTTGTTGTGTTTGTCGCCATTTGACACAGTACAACATACACATGGCAACGCTTCAGTGATAAAAGCAGTACATCTACTAGGCGATCTACGCTGGATCAAATATATGGCAAATAAGGACTCGAGGCTGTTGGTTCGGCCTAAAAGGGGGTGAAAGGACAAAAGTACAGAGCACGTAGGAGGAGAAAAGAAAACGATAACATGTTATCACATTCCTGCAAATGATTACTCATGTTGAACACGCGCACTGCAGGTGCATATGCCACACATTCATGCACGCTTATACCTAAATCCATACGCGCGGTCTCTCTTTCACCCACATGAGTTTGTGTGCTTTCCCTTCCTGCTCTCTGTCCTGGAGTCTGCAGCGCGGCGTTGTTGAGTTTAGTAAAGTGCTGTGAGAACAGGCCTCACCTTTTTGGGGGGGATTAGTGTTCAGACATGATGGCCCGCAAGATGATAAAAAGAGCCTGATAGTCTGTACCAGTTGTTTAAAGAGACTTTTCCCAAAGGCACATCTCTTGGCAGTTGCTCTTAAGTTTTCCATCCCAAAATGTACCGCCAGTTCATTTTGAGGCTTCCCTCACAAATGTCTCTCAGATAAGTCCTGCAATAGGTCACAGACTACGACTAACAAACAGTCGAGGAATGGGACTCAAAGCCATCAATGTACCTATTGGAACTATTCCACCGTTAGTCCATTGGGTGGATGTTTGGTTTGAACATCTAAACATGCAGCAAAACACACCAAATCCTTTAGGAAACCTTAAAACAGGTGTCGCAACGCTAACATGTTCATCTCAACTGAGAATCAATTTACAACAATATGAGAATTAAAATAAAATGTGTCATTCGAGCTTCAGCAATATGGATTAGCAGCTTTAATGCCTTCTGCTTTGAAAATCATTACGGAATACAAATGAGCGTTTTGATTGAAGACGCACAACTTCCCTAAACATCATTCTACAGTGTCCCAGACGTACAAGCTTTCTAAAAAGATGTGTTGAAATGACGACAACCGCACAAGCCCCCGTGTACGTGCCTGGAAGGCGTGTTTGAGCGGTGTCAGGTGTGTTTCCCTGCTGCTGTAGTCGGCCAGCATGATCTACAACATGACCCAAATAAACCAGCGTGTTAGGAGACAGCGTGTGCACGATTTTCTGTGTCTCTTTTTCAAGTGCGCTCCGGCTATCATGCAGACTTACACGGCCGATTGAGGCCCTGCAGGAGGTTTCTGGAGGCGGGGGGTTCGGTTTGACCCCTTTGGGCCGCCCCATTCGGTTACAGCGGGAGGTTTGATGTGTTAGTGTGTGTTTCGTCGGGTGGGGGTCAGCGCTGAAAGCTCCTTTGTTTGCTGTCCACAGAGCTGGAGCCTGGCACCGACAGATAAGAGCGCCTCACCTCCAACACACGTCCTACCCCCCCCCAGCCAGGTTTCATTATGCAAACACACAGCTCAAGTCCTGTGTTAGTTGAGTGTGCAGCTAAGCTGGTACACATGTGTGGTCGCCGTGAGCATGTGTGTGTGTGTGTGTTTGTGCGTAGACAGTCCCCTCTCCTGGATTAAAGACCTTTTAATCCCGCGCGATCCTCATCAGCTCTGAAGTGTGTGCTGCAACTTGTTGGTGGAGGAGTCTGTGCTCCTCGTCGTGGCTGAGGGACTTCTGGTCCTCTCTCATGAGCCCCGCTAAGAGACCTGAGCCGGGCTTTCTGTGATGGATGCACCTCTCAGTTGTAGTTTGGATCAGCAACTTTTAATTGGGTCTCTGCTTTCTTCTCTGCCGCCTAATCTGCTCTCAGGGCCAAGAAGACATACGTGCACCGTTTAAAAGTAGTGCCCTTCGCCTAATTAATTGTGCTTGACTTCCAGAGAATGTCCGTGTTTGACCCCGGAGTGACTCGGCGGTGTTGCTTATGAAGGCCGACCTCCACCAAAGACACTCTTAGTCGACTAAACATGAAACGACTTTGTCAATTTATGCACAGATTTAAGTCGCTCCACAAAGAACCATCAAAAACCACCACTTTCAACCATGTGCTCCTACATCTTATGGCAACTGAAGACTTACCCAGAGTATAATTTGCTCAGATATCTGACAGGGTAACAAACGTTAGCGGTCAGAGGATCTTACCAGTGAAAACTTTTATTTTTTAAACCAAAAGTAAACAGCGAGATAATGTTGCTATTAAATCCCCGGATTTCTTAAATATGTAGGCGGTTTCGAATGGGCCTTTCCTACCCGTTATCAAACGCAGGACCTTGATTCATTTCTGTGATGACATGCACTGTTTACTGCATGTGAACATCCCCAGACACCCCATCGTGTACCCTCACTTAACAAAGATTGTCTCTCGCCCCTCACAGGGAGCTCAGCGATGAACAAGCTACGGCAGAGCTTCCGCCGGAAGAAAGACGTCTACGTGCCGGAGTCGAGTCGGCCGCACCAGTGGCAGACGGACGAGGAGGCCGTGCGCAGCGGCAAATGTAGCTTTGGCGTCAAGGTGACTCTCCCTCCCACGTGAACACGCCTGCATTCCGAAGCTCACAGACACGCAAGCTCTCAGCGACACACACACACACACGGAGTCCACTGCCGACCTTATTGCGGCGCGCTCGCACCTGTGAGAAACATTCTGCTTCACCAAGGACGCTGCTGGTGATTAATCACGAGCACTCAGACTGAGCGCAAACCTTTATCGAGGGTTTCTGCAGGAGCCTTCCAAGCCGGTGGGACGTGAGCACAGACGATGGACATCTGGCCTCCAAGAACAACTTAAAACCGTGAAGTCAACCGTACAGAATTAGAGAAAATATAGCCGACAAATAACAAAAGTCAGGGGCAATATCTCGACTGCCGAGGCGATGCGGTGTCTTCCCACGCGCCGTACGGGTCCTCTGGGCTGTGCTGCAAATGGGCGACGAGTTTTTGCAGTGTTTTGGCAACACAAGCTTCCAGCTTCCACTAGCAAACAGAAGTGAGATGGTACACTTCCTCTTATTAGCAGGGGATGAAATGCGCCATAAAGGGGAATTGAAAACCACAAAGTGTCGAAAGGGAAAGTTCTGCCCCGAAAATACCAGCCCATCAGCATGACATCAACGTGTACAGGCCAAGGTGTCGACCGGGCCCGCGTGTTTGCTGTGTACCGGTTTCTCTGAGCATGAAACCGGAATCGAGAATAGGAAAAGCGGAGGCAGGCAGAAGTGACGTGAAGAGAGGCACGGTGATGTGGAAACGGGTGCAGGAAGCGCGTTGCTTCATGGTCTCACCTCAGCCAGCGTGAAACGCCCTAGATGCAACATCTCCTATAGGCTGCATTCCAAATGTCCCTTGGCCACACGCACACAGACACACACCTTCCCTCCCCCGCCTGCTTCACATAAATTGTCTCCCCCCCGCTTTACTCAAAGCTAGGTTTGTTTTCGCACACTTCTTTTAGATGTACCGAGCCACGTCTTCTCACATTTCGTTTGTGTCTGGCATTTGTCTGAAGTACTGCCGATTTCTTTTCAATTTCTTAAAGAAAGAAAAGACCAAAGGCTGTTTAACTGTAACAACCAAACACTATTCAAGCAGCATGTCACGGGGTCTACTCCAGAGGTCTTCTCATAAGCAGTCAGTCAAATTCGCATCAGCCGCTTTGGTCCACGATCTCTGGTCGCCATGCCTTCCTGTAGACACTCACGCTTCCCCACCAGCTGTTTTTTGTTTATTCTTTCCGGTGCAACCTACCATGCTACCCGCCACACTCCCGCTCCTGTCTCCGGCTCTAGGTGCCTCCAGAGGAGTGTGGGTGGGAATAGCAGCAGTGAAATGATCACTGACTGGGGCACAAAAGAGCAGCCGATAGAGGGGAGGAGAGGAGCTGCATGGGGGGCGGAGGGGAGGAGAGGTTGTATCAAAGTGGTTAAGACGAGGCCAAATGAGCCTTTAATGCAGCGGCTCGTGTCGCACCCCCACCACATAGCCCCCCCCTGACAAGCATTGTAAAACGCACAATCCTCCACTGATTGCCATTTTTGTTTTCGGGTGCATGTTTTCGCTTACGTGGGTTGTTTTCCTGCTGAAATTGCAGTGACAGACAATTATTCCTGATTCAAGGTGATTGTCAAAGGCATCAAAATGTTGATTTGCTGTATTTGTATGGAAATGTCGGCCTTATGGGGCCGCTGAAGCCCGGGGATGGATGCGAGATCAGATTAAATTGCTTATGTGTGTTGCCTACTAACTACAACGCGGAAGGAGATGAATTTATTTGTGCTCGGTGCGTTTAAAATGATATAGGCTCATTCATATGGAAATTAAGTTGTGTTTTCGGTTTGGGCCGAGGGACACATGGGATGGGAGTTTGTAAAGCTGCACACAGCATGGACTTTTTGTTGAATATGACACCATTTTCTCACTGAAGCAGATTTATGGCCAATACCCTGAATACGTTTCCTGGATCCCATTTGGACAACATCCAGCGTTTTTACACCAACAAAGCCAACTCCAGTTAATTAATATTGATGTGTGAGAAGTGCCCCGTTCTACAAATCTCCCAAGATGTGAACACAACACAGAGCGGACCTTTTTTTGCTGTCCTCTTGACCCTTGTCCTCCTTATCGTTGGCCGCTCGGAATGTTTACAAAGCGGGAATTTCGGTGCTTTGCGGTTCCGTTCGTGTTGTTACCTCTGCTGGCCCCCTGCGGCTGGAAAACCATCCCCAAGAGCAGGGGAATAGAAATAGAACAGCTCGTGTCTCTCCACATCAAACACAATAACACAAACATCATGATGTACACACTGGATCTAATCCCAGCCCACTGTTGGATTAGAGCTAATCCCACTGTGGGCCCACAAACAAACCGGTGTTTCAGAACCAAATCCCCCTGCACATGTACGACAAACCGCTCGGGAGACACTCATATTTGTTTGCAAAAGTTGCGTCTGTGTGCACGTGTGAGTGAGATGCTACGCCGAGCGTCTGCTGTGACACTCGCCTCTCACCGATCAACCATTAGCGACGCTGCCTCCGCGCATCGGTATTGTGTGGCGTGGGCCAACACAACGCGGCGACACTGTGACTCGCAGCTGTGGCGTCACGCTCTCAAAATAGCAGGGCCGGAGGGCGGGAGGGTGACAGGCGTGGGTCAGCGTCACTTTGTGTGTGTGTGTGTGTGTGTGTGTGTGTGTGTGCGTGCGGAAAGGGTAAGGACTTCCTCTGCGGCCCCGAACGCACAATGGCTACTGGGGCGGTCAGGGTTGTGACTCTGGTTTGACACACAGCAGGGTGTGATGGGAGGGAGGAAGGAGGAGGCCGCCGCCGCCATTTCCGTTCATTCAGTTAGAAGTCCTTCATGTCCGTCTCAATGTCCCTCCCGGCGTCTGACGTGTCCTGATGCGTCTTTTCTCATCGTTAATTTGATTCTGGGTGGCTTTCACAAATACATGTCATTATTTATGCAGCAATACACGCAGTACGTATGGAGAAGTCATCTGATGTCAAACCTCCAGCACACTAAAGGACAAGTTGTTGTCCCTTTGTGTCCTTGAGTATGACCCTGTCACATTGAAGTTGTTCTTAAAACAAGCTGTAAATACTGAATATGGCTGTGTAAACATCCATATACTGTACATTTCTTGGCATTGTTTATACAGTACACGTGGACTACTTACAGAAGCACTTGGCTTTCTGTTGTGTTGCTGGTCATTGGTCTGACCTTTGTGGTGTTGGTCATCATACGAGGACGTGATCGTAGAATCACAAACTTGTTGTTAGAGTTACTCGCCCATTTGTATTTTTCAGGGAAGTGCTAAGTGTTTTTTCTCCAGGGACAACATTAGAGCTGAGCTAGGGAGCGGTTGAACTGCTATTCACCATAATATAGTAATTAATTAGTTGTATAAATCTACCAGGGGATATCAGACAGTCTTGACTCATTTAAATAGTTTAATAATGATTCACTCAGTGGCTCTCTTTGTGTCTCTCTGCCCTGCAGTACCTGGGACACGTGGAGGTGGAAGAGTCCCGAGGCATGCACATCTGCGAGGATGCAGTGAAGCGGCTCAAGACGGTAAGTTTCACTAGGGAAGCCCTCCATACTTCCAGGAACGAGGCAGCTAAATCCCAGACATCCTCCCTTTTCTTTCCCTTGTCATTTTTTCCTCCTGTCGTAGTTTCCTTCACGGTGCTTCCACCGACATCCTACTGACTCCTTCTAACATTCCCTTTATTCCTCAGCAGCCCTCATCCATATGTCACCAAGCGGTTTGATTGTCTTCATGGCTGTTTTTTCCTGCCTAGTTTACTCCGTGCGTCGAGGCCCCAGTGTGGCTGATTGTTGTGAGGGTCTTCACCCATCGTGACCCCCCACAATGCGTCTCCCCTCCTCTCTCCGCGTCCGTCTCAGCCGGGGGAGATAGACCGGCCTGTGCTTCCTGCTGCAGGAGATTCCGGTTGAGTTGTGCAAGAAAGAACAAATTCCAGTTCGAGGAGCGAGGGTGTGTGTGGGGGGGGGGTGGGTGGGTGGGTGGGGGTGGAGAAATCGCTTTCCACAGTTGCCAAGACTCCACCCATGTCTTAAACTCCTGTGAGTAAATCCAGCTCGTCATATCTGAGTCTACAGTGTAAATTTGAATTCGGTGCCAACAAGGATTTCATCGCTGCTGCTGGAATCTTCTGCTTTCGGTTTCAGTTGAAATGAGCCGGAGGACGAGAATGAATTAAAAGCGTGTTCCTTGTGTTAGCGATACCTATATTCTCCCACAGTGCTTGGATTTACACATTGCACATATGTACCCACAAAAACATAGTAAAAGTACTCTGCAGTAGCAGACGGACGCACTGTATACACGCAAACATGCTACTGAAGAGAATACACACATACAAAGGTCTATTGAACATGCGCACACACACACACACACACACACACACACACACACACACACACACACACTGGTGCTTGATGAGGTCACAACGTGTACACACAGCCTCGGGCTGGGAGCTCTTATTGAGTTACAGTCATTTAAACCGGACAAACAAAATAGAGCCAACTCAAAAGTGGAGGCGGGTGCTTCCGCCTTCTGACCTGACCTGACCGGCCCTCGTGATGTTCCCCCCTCTGGTCTCCCCTGGTGGTAAAGAAGTGTGTGAGAAAAGGAAACTATTTCACACTCTGCAGTCCAAATATGATAACCGCCGAGGGGGTCCAGCGCGGCCCGCCGGATGACTTTGCTATGGTGAGAATTATAGAAAGACATGAATTGCATTACTATAAAAGTAACTGCTATTCCTAAAGTCCACTGGGGGTTCCACTGTGAGTGAGCGCATGCGTTAGACCAGGTCGTTCACCAACGCAGTGCCGCTAGATCAACAAGAACAAAGAAATCACGTTGAAAATGACCCCCACCCTATGATTTTTTTTAATGGTCTGGCCCACTTGAAATCAAAGTAAACTAAAAATGAATCTTTACCATTTTAAAAAGTATAGCGGAGAGCCACGCCGCCTGCAATGACGTAGCTCACGAAGATGATTCAAGTGACAAAATGAGGTCTGGCTCGGGGGTTCTCTGCTCATGATTCAAATCATGGATGTTTTTCGGGGAGGGCTCGCCGGTGGCCTTGAAGCCATTTGCGGTTTCAGTAAATAAACATCTCTTTATTTATACACATCCGTACCCTCAGAGCAGAACACAGTGGGACTCCAGCGAGGCCTCGATAGATCCCAGTTCATCCTCACTGACTCTTCAAAAAGCGAACCGTCGCTAGGCAACAACAATAATTCCTACCGGTTGAGAGGCTGTCAGTTAATATAGCTCAGCAGTAAACTCTATTTCCAGAAGGTAATAACTAAGTTGGTCAGGAACCAGGCCCTCGCCTATAGGCCATTAATGTCTGTTGAGGTCTGGTAGCAGAAGCACGTTTTTTTTTTGTTGTTTTGGAAAGAGATGAAGATGGAGGAGGAACAAAATAGAAGTGTGCGTGCGTCAATTGTTTTCCCAGCGGCCTTTGGAAGAGTAATGAGAGTTTTCTCACAGCTCCGCTACCCATGACTCAGATGGGAGGATGGAGGCGGCTGGAGGAGGAGTCTGCACTGCAGCAGCCACCATCAACCTCAAAATCCGCCCTTTTGCGTTGTCATCATGACGTCACTTCCTGGTGCTGTTCACTGACAGCCACGGTGCATTCTGTGTTTCTGGTGTTGCTCAGGCGCTCATAGTGACCTGGAGTATTTTTGTAGACTGGGTGGAGCTGTAAGAATTCCTCCCAGAAGCCTCAAGGTCACACGTAGGGAGCTGCAGGGTGACTTCAGGACTCGACGGATGCCTAATATGGAAGTTGTCGTTGAGCTGATTTCTTTGATTACATTTGGATTTGGGATTTTTTAAGGAAAATACACAAGACAGACGCTCTGTTCTTGTTCACGTTACTATCACTTTTGAAGTGGAAACCCAAGCCGCAGAAGTAAACGTCTGATGTTAAGCTACAAACAAACTACGCTTCTGTCACATGACCTGACGTCACTACCGCTGAGCTAAAGGCTGACCAGTTCTAGGGATGAAGTCTCATTGAGCCATTTCCTACCTTCCTTTTTAGATAGATCTAGTAGATAGATCTACTCTATTGAGCCTGGGTTAACCACAAATCTCATTTCATGCCACCAACCAACAATCTATTTAAATTAAACAGAAACATTGACTTTGAGACAAAGGAACTGGTCTCTGCACATTGTTCTGGTGGTTGTTGCACATTATGCTGGTGGTTGTTGCACATTATGCTAGTGGTTGTTGCACATTATGCTAGTGGTTGTTGCACATTGTTCTGTTGGTTGTTGCACATTGTGCTAGTGGTTGTTGCACATTGTTCTGTTGGTTGTTGCACATTGTGCTAGTGGTTGTTGCACATTGTTCTGTTGGTTGTTGCACATTGGTCTGTTGGTTGTTGCACATTGTGCTAGTGGTTGTTGCACATTGTGCTAGTGGTTGTTGCACATTGTTCTGTTGGTTGTTGCACATTGTTCTGTTGGTTGTTGCACATTGTTCTGTTGGTTGTTGCACATTGTGCTAGTGGTTGTTGCACATTGTTCTGTTGGTTGTTGCACATTGTGCTAGTGGTTGTTGCACATTGTTCTGTTGGTTGTTGCACATTGTGCTAGTGGTTGTTGCACATTGTTCTGTTGGTTGTTGCACATTGTGCTAGTGGTTGTTGCACATTGTGCTAGTGGTTGTTGCACATTGTGCTAGTGGTTGTTGCACATTGTGCTAGTGGTTGTTGCACATTGTTCTGTTGGTTGTTGCACATTGTTCTGTTGGTTGTTGCACATTGTGCTAGTGGTTGTTGCACATTGTGCTAGTGGTTGTTGCACATTGTTCTGTTGGTTGTTGCACATTGTGCTAGTGGTTGTTGCACATTGTTCTGTTGGTTGTTACACATTGTGCTGGTGGTCTCTGCTTATTGTTATGTTGGTTGTTGCACATTGTGCTGGTGGTCTCTGCTTATTGTTATGTTGGTTGTTGCACATTGTGCTGGTGGTCTCTGCTTATTGTTATGTTGGTTGTTGCACATTGTGCTGGTGGTTGTTGCACAGCGTGCGCGTAGTTATCGCTGCTTTTGAGGGCACAAATGACTGTTGTATTCAGTAGCTTTTGCTCAAGGTTAAGTATGTTCATACATCTAGATGATCAGAGGTTATTGTGGTTGCCTTCAAACTTTCCTGCTTCAGTTGGTTCCGTTGTGCCTCGTTGGCGAACCTTAGTAGTTTCTTGATCTTTTTCAAACTCTGCTGTTCTTTCTGCCCCAAAAGCTTTTGAGCCTTCTGTAGTCCCCCCCCCCTCCTCCACCCAGCCAGCTCACATGATATCTAATATTGTGTTACCTTTTGTTGTTCGTATTATACATATTTATTTTTTGTCTTTTAAAGCAGGTTTTTAGTGAGGTGTCGCAGAGAATGCCCCCCCCCCTCCCATGCACTTCCCTCCCATTCTAACTATTGAAACCCTGTAGAGACTTTTCTCCACTAACCATAGCGCACTCACGCTAGCTGTGCCGGCTCTTCCACCATCTGCATGTCTCTCTCACTCACTCACTCACTCACTCACTCACTAGCAGGCACTTATCTCCTTCCTAATGAATGTCCAGCGCTGGCTAACACGTTAAATCATGCATTAACATGCCGCTCCAAGTGCTGTCTCTGCCATGCCTGTGTAACAGGAGTAGAGTGGCACTCCCTTTCACAGTTATTGGGGGGGGGGGGGTTAAGGCCGGTTCTGGTTGGTTGTAGTTTCTTTATGTGGTCACAGCGGTCTGAACTAGAACCCTGAGTCTGGCTGACCGGCAAATAGTCACAGGGACGACTCAGGGGTCAAAGGGCCGTCTGAAGGAGTCTGCTTGGGTCTGTTCAATAATAACCGCGGAACCAGAGGGCAACGAATGAAATGTGATTTTGGGATTATTTCCGCCACACACACACACACACCTGGAGGTCTGCCATCTTTATCTCCGTCCAGACACATTGGAGTGATGTCTCCGCTGTGGGATTGTCATGGCCTCACCGGGTTTGTTGCTGTTTATTTACATCATAAAAGAACAGAGGGGGGGGGGTCTCTTCCTGTCGGGGGGGGTTTACAGGCGTCAGTTCTAACAGTTATAATCATCCCAACAATAACGAGCACAGTGCCACCCATCTAAACACCCGTCGCTATGGGATGATGTGACGCTCTCCCCTCCATTGCCTCACTCACTCACTCATAACCCTTCACCTCCACTAAAAACAAAACAACCCTAAAATACAACAAGTGGGCTCCAGAGCATTTTGAGACTTCCTAGTCAACATTTTCATGCCATGTTCATCCCCCCCGTTCTCACCCCCCCCCCCCCCCTTTTTTTTTTTACCACATCCCATTTCAGGAAAGGAAATTCTTCAAGGGATTCTTTGCAAAAATAAGTTATTGCGTTGTGTGTGAAAGTGTGTGAACGCCATTCTCATTTTCCACTAACACCCTTTGATCAAGTCTGGGAAGAAACACACCGAAGATTTTGGGGGTGGGGGGGTTTTTGGAGAGAGACGGGCACAATGCATGTGTCTTTGAGCAGGTGGGGTGGGTCAGGCTGGGGTGGGGCACTTTTGCGTGTGTGTGTGTGAGTGTGTGTGTGTGGCTTCTCTCTAATCAGCTTTCCTCCATGAACCAAGAAGGGAACAATGAACAGTTTGTGTGAATGGACGTTCACTATTTGTGCGCACACAAATGTCTTCTTGTTTTAACCAAACGCCAATTCTCAAAACCAACCTTCTCGTTCCTCTTTTTAAAAATGTGGGCACTCAGAAAAACACTTGATCTCTTTTTTTCTACCTGGTGCTTTCTCTTTATTTACAGGTGTGTGTGTGTGTGTGTGTGTTGACTGAGGATGTGGTCCCAGGGAATGAATGGCACAGAGGCAGCGCACAGGGAGAACATCCCTCTACAGGTCTTCTTGTTTCTCACGCGTCCGTGTCCCCGCTGTGCTCTGTTTGCAGGCTGGGAAGAAGCCAGTGCGCGCTGTGCTGTGGGTGTCAGCGGACGGCCTGCGCGTCGTCGACGACAAAACCAAGGTAACGGACCGTCACAGGACTTGATTGAAAGGACAGAGCTTGAACAACTAGCTGGTTTAATGAGCCTCAGAAAGCTCACAGGGCTTTAGTAGCTTTGTAGGTGGACGCCGCTGATAATGAGCGGTGGAGCTTCTGGTCTAGTAAACCCAAAGACTCCGTCTTTGTGAACATGTACTGCACCTGCAGGAGTTGATGATACTACTCTAGTGGAGGAAGCAGTGCAAGGTTACATTGACACCTGCTGGAAGGCTCTGGTACTAAATCAACGCCTCTGCAGCCTCTGATGTTTCACGTTTTGAAATTGAAACATTAAGTTAATTTAGGGAACAAAGCCGGGCTTTGTAATAATGTTAAAACTATGAAGGTTGTTCTATTTAAAATAACCAGTCTCTTAGTTTGTATATTTACTTCTGTCCATTATTGAAATGAAAGTTTTACTGTGAAGAAAAATTACTCAAATTTCAGAAACAATTTCCAATCGGTCTTAAATAAGAAATATAAACATTGAATGTTAAATCACCAAGCGAGTGGAAACCAAGTGTCTCCACTGTATTCCCCTGTTTCGTGTTATTTTATTATATTATTTTAGTTGCCTTTATGCCCTCACAGGTCAAGGATCCGCCCCTGAAAGAAAGGGTCGTTGTTGTGGTTTGGTTTGCAGACCAGTGCTTCCGGAGCTTTATTAGTAATTTCATTCAGGCGCTCTTCACATTGAAGAGCCGTTCACAATGAAATCATTCCGCCCACATTTGAAATCGTCTGCATTGAGTGCCACTTCACTCTGACCATAGTTGTCGAACCCGTAGTGATGAAGTGTACATGTTTTGCAGGACCTGATCCTGGACCAGACGATAGAGAAGGTGTCGTTCTGCGCTCCGGACCGGAACTTCGAGAGGGCGTTCTCTTACATCTGCAGAGACGGCACCACGCGGCGCTGGATCTGCCACTGTTTCATGGCCGTGAAAGACTCAGTAAGAAGTCCTCTAATAATCACCCCCCTCTGCCTGTGGTCTTCTCTGTGTCAGTTAAATTATGCACTTTTCATTGGTGTACATTGTGTTTTCAATAAGCTGTTTTTTTTCTGCATGGTGTCTCTCAGGGAGAGCGCCTCAGCCACGCTGTGGGCTGCGCCTTCGCCGCCTGTCTGGAGCGGAAACAGAAACGGGAGAAGGAGTGTGGGGTCACGGCCACCTTCGACGCCAACAGGACCACCTTCACCCGCGAGGGTTCGTTCCGCGTGACCACAGCGACGGAGGCGGCGGAGCGGGAGGAGGTCATGAGGCAGCTACAGGACGCTAAAAAAGGTCTGTAGGCGCAGCGGCTCTTTATTTGACCCGACATCCGGCAGCTGTCGTCGCTTCACGCTTGCCCTCCTCCGACAGCAGAGACGGACGTGAAGGTCACCGGTAACTCGGCCACCGGCGTGACGAACCCCTCGGTGCACCCGGCGGGAGGCTCCCCGTCCCCCTCGTCCTCGCCGCCCCCCTCCATGGCCTCCCTGGGGCCCCAGGTGATACCGCGCAGACACGCTCCGGCCGAGGCTCTGGCCAGGCAGGGCTCCTTCCGAGGCTTCCCGGTCCTCAGCCAGACGACTTCTCCCTTCAAGCGGCAGATGTCGCTGCGCATGAACGAGCTGCCCTCCACCATGCAGCGCAAGTCCGACTTCCCCATGAAGAACACGGGTGAGTCCTGATCGACGCTCCGTCGTCCTCGGCTTCCTTGTTGTCCGTACGACGACAACGAAAACCGATTACATGAGTGTCAGCGAACGCCTCGTCTCTGGTGTTTGCCCTCCAGTCGCTGAGGTGGAAGGAGAGAGCGACAGCATCAGCTCGCTGTGCACTCAGATCACCTCGGCCTTCAGCGGACCCCCGGACCCTTTCTCCTCAGCACCGATGCCTAAACCCGCCTCGTCACCCCAGTCTCCTGTGGCACCAGGTACAGTTCTGAGACGTGGTTATCTGACACGTGTGACTTTTTCTCTGCATCGCGATCAACTCCATTCGTCAACGTCATTCAACTGGATTCTAAATGCAACAAATTGCACACTGCGGCTGCTCTTCTGTCAAGTATCATGTCCAATTGTTCAGGATGAATCAGAAATCCTGCAGGATTATACAAAGATTATTCAAACCTTTCTCACAACGAACTAGAGTTCTGCACTTCAGTCAAAACCACACTGAGGGGTTGAGGAGGAATACGCTGGTTGTTTGCTGCCAATAGCCCCCCAAAACACATCCACCGTGGCCCAACACTCCCCAGTTTGGTATTTTGACATTCACCCCTGCATGTCCTGTAGGAGAGACTTCCAGTACAGATTGTTTTGCTTGTTGCTTTAAGTTTGCCGTTTTGCACATTTCTCCCATAACTACATACGTAGCGTTTATTTCACACTGCACGGTAATGCCAACACACAAGCTTGCTCGTACTAGCGTCTGTCTCCTATCTGCTGTAGTGAACGGTGCATCTCCTGCCTTCTCTGCTGCTGCTGCTGCTAACCCCCCAGTTCTGCCCCCCGCTCTGCCTGCTCGAGACACTAACCCCTGGACTAAAACTCCAGCAGGAGTCCCGCCCTCAGCACAGCCAGGTAAGCAGCACATCAGAGAAGCCAAATCCAGATGTTTGCATGTCACAAACGAGGGATGGCGGACACGCACCTTTTGAGTTGAAGGTCCTCTTATCCTTGCAGCATGTTTTTGAAGATAGGTACACAAAGCCACCACGGCAAGTGCGTGTCCCTTAATTGTAAATGTACAGTTTTACATGTTGGGCAATAAATAATAGATATGTTTAAATAAGACTCTACAGATCCGCCTGATTTCATCATATTCAGCCTCTCGGCAAGAAGCGCTAAGCTACGCTAACTGGATAGCTGGATATCTAACCAATGAATTCGTCACAAGCCAAAGGGCATATTTCTCTTCCCATGTTGTTTTCTTTAAACTTCATCAATATTTCTTTTGACTTTGATGTGGAATCGCTCACTGTTTTCTTTCTTGTGCCAACAGGAAGTAACTGGTCATCTCCTACTCCGGTGATAGTGGTCCCCCCCGCGTCCTCCCCGTCCATGTCCTCCCACAGACGCACGCCGTCAGAAGCAGACCGGTGGTTAGAAGAAGTCACCAAGTCGGTCCGAGGGCCGCCGGCCAACCCCATCATGGCCGCAGCCCCGCTACCCGCCCACTTCGCTGCCCCTGTGGTGATGCCCGTGGTGCCCGTTGTCTCCCTCACCCCGCCGCCCTTCATGTCCCCTCTGCCCTCTGCCGTGCCCATGTTGCCCCCCCGCCAGCCCGCCTTCCACGCTCAGGCCCCGGTCTCCTACCCGATGGCCAACGGGCTGCCGTTCCCTCAGCCCAGCGTGCCCGTGGTGGGCATCACTCCTTCCCAAATGGTGGCCAACGTGTTCGGCTCAGCCACGCAGCCGCCGCCGCCGTTCCCCGTCCCGGCCTCCGTGACCCCCCAGCACGACCCCAAGGCCGTCTGCCACGTCAGCCCGTTCATCAAGCCCCCGCCGTCCATCGCGGCGGCCCCCGCACCCTTCCAGCCGTCCAACGGCAGCGCGACCTTCAACGGGGGGGACAACTGGGCCGCTCGGTCGCAACTCGCTCCGTCCTCCCCTTTCACCCAGCCCCCCCCGGAGCCGCCACAAGACGCCTTCGAGGCCCAATGGGTGGCCCTGGGAGGGCCGCTCGCGCCAGCGCACCACGCCCTCCCCCACGAATCCCTTCTCCACGGAGCTGCACAAGACCTTTGAGATCCAGCTGTGAAGACTGTGTCTGAGATTAGAAAGTACTGGACAATAGGCAGGTCATTTTAGTCGGGCGGTGGGACGAGCTCATCGGGACCGAAAACAAGTGGGAGACGGAGGAGAGCAGCGGGGAGCGGAACTCCTCCCCCGCCGTTACCCAGGGTGCAGCTCACCAGGCACTCATTAACATTGTTCTGTTTTGTTTGTGCTGCGCAGCACAAGCTCGCCGCTACCCAGGTGGAACATCTGTACCACATCCAACCCACCCTGTGAGACCCCCCCCTCCCCCCTCCCCTCCTCACCTACACAGCCCACATTTGCTCGCTCAGGCTCCCAGTCGACAGGACGAGACGCCCTCACATGGTTGAGGAACTGCAGCACTGAGAGAACTCAGCTTCCAGATGAGAAGTTCCCAGTCCGAAGAATAGAGTGAGACGATGCCAAAATCTTTATTTTTATGCATTAAGTATATTTTAAATAGCTTTGGAATCTTAACAGATGAGTTGTAAGTAATCGTGCCAAAGGCACAGGCTAGCTACAATGAGACAAGTTTATGTTTGTGTATACAAGAAATGGCCGTATATATTATACATAAATATATATATCTATAAAGAATCTATACTGTACACACAGCTCACAGCAGTGCTAATTTTTTATGTGATGTAAAGAGATTGTGTGAAGGGACAGCTGCTTTTACCTTTGTGTTTGTTTTATTTTTTGAAGAAAAATCTCTTTATTGCTGTCTGTTGCATCCTGTGATTGGATGCGAAGCATCTCACTGTAAATATGGTATCATTGCAGCAACAATCAATGTGGACCTAGCGATGGTGGTGGTACCCAACTGGTTGCCTCTCTTACCTGTGCTCAGTTTTAATAGATTATAGTACCCATCAGTACTTATCGATTGACTTCTTCTGTCTTTGTCGTCATCCTTTTTATTTTTGTGTGTGTGGTAATGATCTTGTTTTTTTATTTAACACGGTAGGATTTAATCTCCTGTCTCTCCACCTCTTATATTATTTTTTTAAGCAGTAGTATTTCTTAATTTTTATTTTGCACAAGAACTCAAGTAGATGATTTGACCTCACAGGTGACGTTGAACAGAGTCAGTCAGCCGAGGTGCTGCGGCGGCTCAGAAGCGCCTGAGCTCAGCGCCCTGCGTTGTGGTTCTGACTGTCAGCAGGAAACTACAGGGAGATGATTTTCATCTCTCACTCTGTCTGATTTCGCTCTGTCATGTTTTTGTTTTTAAATCAATCCTGTGAATATGATCTATTATCGGATCTATTTTTCCATTTGTAATTATTTCATTACTTTATTCCACTTCTTTGGAGAAATATTGAAGCTAAAAGATTGAATAAATTGATGGTGATAAAGGACAAAGTGGTTTGTTTTCTTGAGTAAATGCTGGCATGTTTTTTTTTAAATGTTTAACATGCAGTGGAATCCATTAACACTGTTAACGAAACTAGCACTAGTTTAGTTAGACAATTAAGTGATTACCACAAACTATTTTTAGATCTGCAATATTTTATTGTTTATTGCACTTAATACACTATTGGATCGATAATCAGTCAGTGAAATTATTCATAATAAAGGAAATAGTTATTTGCAGCCCTTGTACATTTATATGAACAAATAGCAGGTTCCAGAATACTTTACTACTGAGTGAACTGTTACTGATGGTTATTTCGAGTAATACAATTAAAGATGCGTTTCAATATTAATATTCAATTGGACCAGTCCCAGACAATGCGAGTGGGACACGACATAAGTCCCCGGGGGGACAAACGTCCTCTCGTTGGAAGCGGATTCCTGTTGCTGTCGTTCCGTCCGGCCGGCAGGGGGCGCCGGCGGGAGAGCCGCGTCCTTATAAGCGCGTCCGGGAAGACGCGTGTTTGTTCAGTAAAAACGAAGCAAGGGTAAATGTACGCGAACACGGCGGGCGCATTGGTTAAAAGAAACCCACGGGTAAGAGCTCGCGGTGCGCGTCTTGGTGCTCTGGCGTGTTGTTCTGCTGCCATTCTGCGCACGCACGCGAGGCTAATCGAGCCGCGGAGCTAACCGGCTAGCCGCTGTGGCTAACCAGGCTAACGGGGGTGTAACTTTCAGCAGAAAATGGAAGGAAGGGTGAAGTTGATGATGCACAGCCTTGTCTTGAAGCCGTATCTCCCCCTGAGGGGAAAACGTTACCCGGTGTAGATTATGACGCAGCCAGCGGTCGGCGCTAGCAGAATTTCGGGATGCTACCGCTAGCTTTGAACCTGCCGGCTCCGCTGCATGACAGCTTGCTCTGTGCGTGTGTTGTCCAGGAAACTTGGTCTCCATGTCTCCAATTTAACGGGCCCCTCTTTAAATATGTTTGCCTTGAAATGGCTGTAGACCGCATCGGCGAAACGACTAATACGTTCAAGTCAGCTAACGAAGTAGCCGACTTGACCTTTGACCTGTGTAGGACTGCCGGTCGTGCGTCTGCTTGCTTTGCTTATCGATTAAGTTGATGCGGGTTTTATATACGAGATTGTTGAAATTAACTCTTATAACATGATGTTGGGAATCATAAAGAAATGGAAAAAGGACATGACTGAACTCTGCAGCATGCCATAGGCTTAGCTTTAGAATGGAAAATAAGAAGAAATATAATAATAATAATAATCATCTAAATATAAATGATTAACTCATTTCTTCAGTTTAATCATGAACCTATTTACTGCATGAGCTGATGTCTGATTTATAATTTGGACTCAAATTACGTTCCCATCTTCAAACATGAACACATAAATGAATGAATCCCTTCTTCAGTTGAACAATGTTTTGATAGTATGACATCAAACTTTTTGCTTCCAGCTGATTGGTTTCAGCCTTCAGTTATTTCTGGATCCTACTGTTTACTGATATTCATCAATACGTTTTAAACGTTCTATTTTGCTTCAAATCTTGACGCGTATTTGAGTCTAAATATTACATATGACTTTAAGAAAACGTCACTGCAGATTTTCTTTTTGTCTGACTGATTGTGTAGATGAAAAATAAAACTACATTTCTAAATGGAGGAAACGTGTTGTTCCAGAGAGATGCAGTGACTGTCCAGATAACAGAGCCAGGTTTACGGGGGATCCCACTGACGCAGGAAAGGTATAAAACCACTCGCCTTCATGTCAACACTGTTTTCGACAGGCAGATTCAGCCACTTACGTTTTTTTTGGTGGGGGGGGGGCTGTTGGGGATTCTAGATTTGCACTTTTCTGCCAGCCGAGGACCACTTCAAACCGACATGTCTCATCGAGGAACTTTAACCGCTGTCATAACGACGGTGCTGGGAGCGACCTTAGGCGGGCTGCTGGTCTGGCGAGTTTACCGAACGAAGCGGAAGAGGCTGCCTCCCGTCCAGGAGGCGGGCGATCTTCTGCGGGCGCCGTGTCCTGTGGAAAAGGACTCCGCGGCTGAGGAGCATCAAACCGACCAACCAACACATCCTCTTCCGGAGGAGGAGTTCCAGGCTGCAGAGTGTCCGACCACGCAGCAGCAGCAGCCGCCGCCGCCGCCGCCGCCTCCTGCGCCGGTGCCGTCTTCTGAGGAGCTGCTCGCTGTGACACCGGTGACTGTGAGCTCTGAGGAGGAATGGCAGCGGCTGTGGCCGCTGATGCAGAAGGAGCTGTCGGTCTTCCCTGTGCTGGGGCTCGACTGCGAATGGGTAAAGGCCACCGGCGTAAGAAATACCTTTTGCATGTTTTTAGATACGATGAGGGAAAGTCCACCCTGAACGATTCGGCGTCGTTTAATATAGTGCACTTTTTCAGATGTATGCGAAACACAATCCCGCAGATGTTCACAAATAATGAAGCCGTTTTGAGTGAATGCCGATCGCTTAGTGACAAAAAATGAATGAATTCTTAATGAAATAATAAGCTGTCGCTCCTCCACTGAGGCTCTGTGGGCTGCGAAAAGGAAACGATAAGCAACTCCTGAAATGCATTTAAGATCAAATCCTGCAGTACGCCCATCAGCCGGGTGGAGTCTTCCTGTCACATTTGGTCGTGCTGCTGGTCTCCGCCTGACGCCCCGGCTGCCGCTTCCTCTTGCAGGTGTCCGTGAAAGGCCGAGCCTCCGCCGTCTCCTTGCTGCAGATGGCCACGTACTCGGGTCTGTGCGTCCTGGTGAGGCTGCTGGCGTTTCGCAGCGCCCAGCAGCCGTTCCCCCTCAGCCTGATGGAGGTCCTGCGAGACCCGCACGTCCTGAAGGTCGGCGTCGGCTGTTATGAAGACGGCAAGCGCCTGACGCGAGACTACGGCCTGTCGCTGACCTGCACGGTGGACTTGCGCTACCTTGCCTTGAGACAAAGGTACAGTCTGTTTACTGCCGTTTCCTACATTTGTAGAAGGCAGAAGACTTCAGATAAAAGAAATCCGACTTAGTACTGCACATGATACAGTGACAATAATACAATAAAAATGTGATATTGCACAGTGAACATCTCCAACCTGTTTTCAGGCAAGCTGTAGTGAACAACGGCCTCAGTCTGAAGTCTCTGGCTGAAGATCTGCTCAACGTGTCACTGGATAAATCCCTGGAGCTGCGCTGCAGCGACTGGGAGGCGGATCAGCTGACGCTGAAGCAGGTGGCCATTTACTCCATCACTGTCCACATCTGCTTTCGAGAATACACCCCTCCGGCCCCCTCCCCACACCAGCCCATCTCCCCCTCATCCAACCGTTTCCCTCTCACCTGACGACTTTAGATGAATTACGCTGCCAGAGACGCCCAGGTCTCCATCGCGCTCTTCCTCCACCTCCTCGGCCTCGACGCGCCCGGCGGCGGCGGCGGCAGCGGCGGCTCTTACTCCGAGTTGGCCGCCCGCTGCCAGGGCCTGGTGGACGCTCCCTTCAGGAGCCGAGGGGACGGCGAGGACAGGCCGCCCGACGGGGAGAGGCGACGCAGGACCAGGAAGCCGGCAGCTTTTGAAAGCCCGGAGTCTGGAGATCAACAAGTCCCAGACCCTCGAAAGCACAAGAGGAAACCGCTGGGAGTGGGCTATTCGGCCAGGTGTGGGGGGGGCGGCGGCGGTGGCGAAGGAATGAAATGTGCCATTTTACATTTGTGTGTTCCTTTGGTCTGTGGTTCTGCAACGTCTCTCCCTCTGCGTTACAGGAAGTCTCCTCTCTACGATAACTGCTTCCTGCACGCTCCCGACGGCCAGCCGCTGTGCACCTGCGACAAGAAGAAAGCCAAATGGTACCTAGATAAAGGAATAGGAGGTACACTGGATAACTCCCAACGCGTCAACATCACTGCACATCGTCAGAACATCTCGCTGCTCGACGCTAGAACATCTTAGAGTCTCCCTCGCTAGGCCAGCTCGCTGTAGCGCCACACTTTGTTTAGCTCGCCATCTTTTTCTGCGTTCGGCCGTGTGAAGATGTGATGGACTTAATCTCTCCGTTTGTGCCCTGCACCCCCCCTCCACCCCCCCCCCTCCAGTGCTCCAGAGCGAAGACCCCTTCGTGGTGAGGCTGCTGTTTGAGCCGTCGGGACGTCCCGACTCCCAGCAGGACTACTATCTCACGGCCAAGGAGAACCTGTGCGTGGTCTGTGGCAAAGCGGATTCCTACATCAGGTCGTTCCCCTTTGACCTCAATGAGCCGATTTCATTCTGCTGCCTTTTTGTTCATTGATAGAAAAGCAGCAAATCTTCACATTCCAGTCCTTTTTTTATTTTTATTTTTATATAAATCTCTTGTGAGACGGTATATATCAAACGGCCCGTTAGCCCGTGTTACATTTACTTAAACGGAGTTGATTAATAATTAATTACGTGCTGGCTATTAATTATTACATCTATTAATCGAAACCCGTCGCTCCCACAGGAAGAACATCGTGCCCCACGAGTACCGACGGCACTTTCCCACCGAGATGAAGGACCACAACTCCCACGACATCCTGCTGCTCTGCACCAGCTGCCACGCCGCCTCCAACGTGCACGACGGCTTCCTGAAGCAGCGCCTGGCCGAGGAGTTCGCCGCCCCGCAGGGCTGCGAGGAGGGGGTCCGCCCGCTGGAGGACTCTGACCGCCGGCGGGTGCGCTCGGCGGCGCGCGCTCTGCTCACCGCCGGGGAGGCGCTGCCGGAGCTGCGGCGGGACGAGCTGCAGGCTCTGATCAGGAGCTTCCTGGGGGAGGAGCGGGAGCTGACGGAGGCGTCGCTGCAGCAGGCCGCCGCTCTGGAGACGAGGTGAGCTTGTTTTCCTGCAGCGTTTCTAATTCCCGAATTTCAAAACATACGATTTGAAGCTGCAATAGAAAGTTTATGTTGGCGTCGCTCGCTGGTCCTGTACGATACTCGGCCCCTCGATTGATTCTTAAGAGACTTATTTGTCAATATCACTAATTCATGTAAATCCATAAAATGCCACATTTGGGACACCGCTTCACATCTGCTCATTAATTCCACAGCTGTAACGTTGTAGTTTGATCAAAGCCTCGGGTAGCGACATGGGCCCAGCTAGTCGGCACGCAGCCTTTCTTAGTGCGTCCCCCTCTAACCTCCCCCCCCCCCCTCTGCTCTGAAGGATCTTCAACGAGGCGTACGTGCCTCACGGCCTGAAGGTGGTGCGGACCTGCGCCGAGCAGGGCCTGCGGGGCCTGATGGACCTGGAGCGCCGCTGGAGGCAGCACTTCCTCACCGCCATGCGGCCCCGACACCTCCCCCCCCTCTGGTCCCCGGACCACAACCACAGCAAGTTCCTCCGCAAGTACGGAGAGGACCTGCCAATCAAGCTCAACTGACTGACCGCGAGTCTTCTGTCGTGAACTAATAATCTGACGGCGTTGCCAGCATGCGAAAGTGTGTGTGTGTGTGTTTGTGTGCGCGTGTGTGTGTGTGTGTGTGTGAGTCCACACGTTCTGTGTTGGACGCTGGAAGCCGTTTCACTCTTTACTTCTGGTGCCGGTGTGAAGCCGCTAGGTCGCCACCTGGATCCTGAAGAACTTCAAGCAGAGGCTCCACTAGTGGGGGAAACACTCGACATAATGTGATTGCATATGAACACTTTTTTTATCATGAAAAATGTATAATTATTTATGAAAGGTAAAAAATAATTGAATTTAAGAAATGATTTTTAGAGGAAGCTGCAGCCTGCTCTTAATCCCCCCCCCTCCTTACCCCCCTCCCCTCCCACCCCTTTGTGCAGGTTTGCAGCTGTCGGTCTGAGAATAGAAGCGTTGCCTTGCAGAGAGGTTCATCCTAACGGGACCTTAAATGTTCTGCCCCCCCGCTGTTTTTTGTTTTTTCCGGTCTGTCGTCTGTTTTAAGTCGATAGAGGAAAGTAGAAGCACCTGGGGGCGTAAACGTGTCCCATCTCGTTGAGACGTTGGCCGTCTTGGTTCATCATTTCAAACTCGTGGTGTTAACGCGGTGCTGCCGGTCCTCCCCGAGGGAGGGAGGGGGGGGGGGACATCTTCCTGGCTCGTGTTTTAATGTGCCTCTTAATCCCCCGAACCCGACCGGAGCCCCGACCGGAGCCCCGCGCAGCGCCGCGTCTGCACTTTACAGCCGTTCTGCCGCCATGACGTCGATTCTACACACTCCACAAAATGCACAGTGAAAGAAAAGAGGCCGACTCTTGATGCGATTTAGAAAATGACCCAAAAAGCCCTTTTTTTTTTTTTTTTGTGAGGCCGGTGCCTCGTTTCTCGCGCGATGGTTCTTCACACAGCAGCTGCTTGGTCTCTTCTCCCTGAAGCTGTTCTGTTTTCCTAAATGGTGAATGATGCAAAAATTAAAAAAAAAATCATGTTTATTAATCTTCTGTGACTTGTTGTTTTTCAAAATAAGTTTTAAAAAAAACACAACCTTAATAATTTCTTACAAAATCAGTTTAATAAATAGTCTGTAAAAATGAGTACAAAAGCGTTTTTCTTAACATTTCATATATGAATCACTCGTGACCTTCAGGTCTCTTCAGTTGGACTTTTTTTTTTTTTTTTTTTTTTGTCGAGAATGACTCATTTTTAATTTTATTTTTACAATCTAGTTTTGCTGAATTAAGGCCTCTTGATTTTGGCATCGGAACAATCTGTCATTCAAATGTTGTTTTTGAAGTTGAATTGGTGCAGAGTTATGAGCTCTCCTGGTTTCACAGTTCTGTCAGGAAACATAAATAAAATGACACATTTACAAATAAAAACCAAAATGGCTCAACATGCAGATGTGATCCCTTCGCCCTGGACGAAGCACGTTTCTGACGGCGTTTGACACTGGAGACAAAAAGCAACAACGATGGCACATGAGGCTGCTTCATCGACGGGGATTCCATCCACTTGCTTTTTTCTTTAGTGTCTTTTCGTCTGGTGGAATCCCCGATGTGAAGTTTAGCGGTGATGAGTGTGAAGGACACTCTGACATCTTTACTGAAACCTCTTTGGGTGGAAACACGCGTGAAGATTTCACCTTTAAAAAAAACTTAACGTGTTTTTCTGTACAAATTCAGTGTACTGGAAATACTCCAAGTTTGGTTTCTTGCCAATACATGTATCAAAGATTTAAACCGCTCCCATGTCTGTTGATTTAATGTGATGCTAACGTTAGCTTAGCATCAAGACTGGAAACCGCTGACTGGGGAAAAGTTTACTTATAGTGCTTCATGAATCCTTTAGTGTGTCCACCCAAACTACTGCAGAGGATTTCAACACTAAATTACTGCATATTATAGCTCCTTTTGTTCATTTCAACCAAAGACTATTAAACTTATAGAAAAGGACCTGTTTGATTTAGCCCAAAATCTCTGGAAGATTTTTCTTTCTATTTGCAGGGACTTTCACATTTCAGAACATCAGATATTATTTAAAACATCACATCGTGAATCTTTTCCTTAAAAAGGTACACTGAATTAACAATAAGGCATTTTCTAAATATTCCCAAAATCACAGGTCAAAGCTTGACCCACAACAGTATCTTCAAAAGCTAAAATGTGAAGGACGTTTTTAAATTTATGTTACAAAAACATTTGGACCTTCTTGGTAAAAATCCATTGGCAAAGATTTCTCTGCACAAGTTTTGTGAGTCGATGACCTCATTTCTCTCTCGTCTGTTTCCACACAAACAGAATTCACAGGCCGGTAAGATTGTCACATTAACGTAAGATGTTGCACAAATCATATTGCTCCACGACGGCGGCATGAAAGAAAATCTTTCGGCTTCAAAACCAACGAATGCATCAATAAATAAATGAATTTTAAATGCGGATGAGTCCTCTAGTTTTTTTTTTTTGGTCAAAGGCTGTTCGATGCTGCAGAGAGGCTGTACAGTGAAACGTGGATTCTAGACTACGTGTGCTTCAACGACAAAACAAGCGCCTCTCTTTGCTGAAAAACAATCAAAAGAACCCCCCCCCCCCCTCACTGCACCACTGCTCCCAACAAGTCATTATTGCTCGCGTGTTAATAATACATAAAGAATGAGAAAAGCATTCTCTGAAAGACTGAATCAGACTGCAGCATGAATGACAACAAGGGTCCAAACCCCCCCCTCCCCCCTTGTTCCCGTCCCTCCATAATCTGCTTCAACGAGGACGGACTCCGGCTGTGGGAAGAGGCGCGACGTGGACGTTTGCTGGTGTTTATCGGGATGCAACGGGTCACAAATTCTTTGGAGTTTCATTGGATGAACCGAGTTTGACGGATCTTGTACGGTCGTGTCAGGACGCAATGTTATCATCACACACGCACACACACACACACACACGCACGCACGCGCACACACACACGCACACACACGCGCTGTCAATGCAAATCACAATTGGCACAGGTTACCAAAACAAGGACCCTGGAAGCTTGGCACTACGCAAAAGAAACATCACATTTCTTTCAAAGAAATCTTATGAAAAGGAACTATTGAATAATCTCGGGCCGACTCTTCTTCCTCACTATTACTCGTGTCCTCTATGCTGATGAAGGTTACACCTCCAGGTGACTTCACTACAATCACTACAGATCAATACAGCTCAAAATAGGAATGGACTTCTTTTCTGCACAGACCAACATGGAAGTGAAGAATCCGCCATCTACCGGACCGCGGCGCTGTGGTCTGGTGGCTCGTCCCCCTCCTCTTCCAAACAATCAGTTCCTTAAAGGCAATCTCCAAAGACCACAAACAACCCCCCCACCTCAGACAGATGTCTCTGCATCTGTGTGGACGGGTTCCCTCACGGTGACGGGTCCAGTGAAGGGCCCGACGCGGCCCTGCTGGGGACCGCCGAGGGGCCCTGCAGGCGCTGCAGTTCCAGGATGCTGTCGATGGCGCTCTGCAGATGCTCGCTGAGCATGCTGTCCTCATGGAGGGGGGGCGGCGGGGGCGGCGGCGGCGGGCTGAACCGAGGCGACTCGTCCAACCTGTAGCATTTCAGTTTGGGCCCGCTGACGTCGGTGGGCGGCGCCTCGAAGCAGCCGGCCCCTGGCTGCGGCATAGAAAGAGGGTTTGGGGCTTTTGTTTCGGGATGGGGGGCCGCGCGCGGGGTTTCCTCCGCGGGGTCACAGGGCGGCGCTCCGTTGGCTGCCCGGGAGTGGCGTTGGTCGACAGCTCCGCCCCCGTTGGTCAGCCGCCCCGCGTGGTCCCTCTTGAGGCCCGGGTCGCAGGCCGAGTTGCGGACCACCTTGCGGGAGCCCGACTCCTGCTTGATGGTGAGCCTGAGGGCCCCCCGGGAGCTGGAGCGGTACGTCTTCAGGCCCGGGGGCCGGTCGGACAGTCTGGTCCACGCCGGCGGAGAGGAGGGGCTGCCGGAGGAGCGAGCGCCGTGGGGGGGGGACGCTGAGGTGGACAGAGCCGTCAGAAACGCCTCTGTGGTGGAATCAAGGAATCAAACAGACATTTGCAGAAAGCTCAATACGAATCTCAGAGCGAGTTCATACGTGATGTCACGAATCATGTTTTATTCAACGCAAAGTATTTATTAAAATGTTTAAATACTTTCAAACCGTCTATTTGAGAACATTGTTAATCGTGTTGTGATGAAATCAAATATCGACATGTTGGGAGATTTACATTATCTAAAATGTCTAAGTACTTTTTTTTTTTTTGGCAAGTATCTCATTTACACAAGAAGAATATGTTATATATATCGTCATTAAGATATAAAATGGGTCTCTGAATAACTTGACTGTTACTTGTCAAAAGAAACACACTGATGTTTATTCGTGTGCAGCGTAAATAAAACAAAAGTGTTTTTGTTCCAGCTGGCGTCGACTACAGCTTCTGATTTGCACAATAATTATTCCTTCAGACGGTTTTCCGGAGGCTCCCTGCCCTTTTCCCACTTGTTTTAATTAACGTTACCCCCTCTCCCCCCTCTCTCCCCCCCTCTCCCCTGCCTCAATGTGGTCGTAACCTGCCGCGTGCCATTTTCTCGCCCCGCTCAGCGTGACCTCGCTCCTCATTCACACCTCCTAATCACACATTCACAGCTTCTGGAGGGAAATGTGCAGGTTAAGCTCCGCGGCACAAACAAATGAACTCCCACGAAAAAGTGCAGGGGAGGAGTGTCGCCGGATCACTTCTAATTTCAATTAAATGAAATGTTGTTGTTGTTGTTTTTAAGGCGGTTCTAGTGGCACTGACCCGGGTCTCTGCGGACTCTCCGTCGGTCCTCTGCTAGAGCGCATCGCTCCGCCTGGAGGAAGAGACGCTCCAGCATCACCATCTCTGCTGAGGGGCTCTCCTGCTGTGGAAACCAGTCCATTCCCCATCACACACACACACGCACACACACACGCACACACACATGGATCTCCATCGGCTCCAAACCGGCCTGAGAAGACGGCTGTCTGTTTTTCCTCGTGGTTTCTCACCTGAGCTTCTCGCACCAGTAGCTGCCGGTATTTGTTGACCATGTCCTTGGTGCGTTTCAGCAGGAAACCGGACACAGTGTCGAACTGCTGGTCCACTGTGAGCAGAGAAGCATCATCAGCACCATCATCAGCACCATCATCATCATCATCACACCACGGCTTCTCTTTTCATCGACTCATCCACTGATTGGTCACGGACCTAGATCGAAGTCCCGCTGAGCGGGCAGGTGACCGGCGCAGGCGTGGTACGGCAGCAGGCGCCTCACGGCGTCCCTCAGCGCGGGGAAGGCCGGGCCGGCGGAGGGCGCCCGGACCGCCGCGTGGTCCGAACAGATCTGCTGCTGGAACCTGAGGAGACACAGGGACCACTCGACTGAAGGACCCGACTGGTTCTTCGTGACGGGGGGGAACGCGGACCGCGAAAGGAGAAGGCGGAACGATCCGTGCAGCTGTCGAAGCGTCACCGCGTTTCCTTCCTACCTGTGGCCGCGCGTCGCTGGTGCGATTCTCTCCTCCATCTCCTCCAGAGCGTCTGCCAGCTGGCGGAGATTTCAAGTCATTAATAAAACGTTTGCTGCATTCCACAAATAATTATTAACAAATTCAGTTTCACCCAAAGGGGGGGGGGTCATTTTGACTCACTACAAACATTTTAACACCCGTTTATTCTACTTGTCATAAAACATAATTAGAGCGGAAATTAAGCTGAAATCGGCGTGAAATTTGGCAGTTTCATTTAGTAAAACTTTGGGTTTTAAACTTTTCGTTCTTAAAAATGTCAGCTTGGACTTTGTGAAATTGTACCAATAATATTACTATTACAACATCACAGTACATAATTGCATATCTGACATCATAAGCTTCCTCACCTTCCTCTGGCTCGTCTGGGGGGGGGCAGGGGGCCCGTGTCCCCGGACCCCGGGGGCCTCAGGAGACGGTGGATGGACATCGAGAGTTAACGCTTTACTCTCCCCGACCAAGGCAGCTGTTGGCTCTGAAAAAAAGGGGGGAAACAGTGAGGACGAATCCGCCGGCCGTATTCTGCATCACGACGTCGATCCCAGAGCGAACCGCTTCGGGTCGCGTCGTGATTGACACTCACTGTTTTGTGTGTGCTGTTGGGCGGCGGCGTCGTCCCGTCCTGGGGAGGGACGAGCAGCCGTGGGATCAGGCTGCTGCTGAGGCAGCGAGACGCGCGGGGTGGGGGGGCTGCTGTGGGCCGAGGGCCGAGGCCGGGGGACGGACGGCTCCGTCTGCACCGGGTTCTGGGTAAATGAGGCCCGCGAGACCTGGAGTTGATGAGGGGCCCGGGGGTGCTGGACCGGGGGCTCGGTGCCAGTCTGGAGAGCTGCCACTGAAGCCTCGGGTCCCGGCGAAGGGATCCGAGGGGAGAAACCCGGCGGGGACGGTGCCTCTGCGTCGGGAGGCGGGGAGCAGATCACCGGAGGGTCCGCCGGACCCGGGTGGAGCGGTGAAGACTCGACGCACCGGTCGGAGGTCAGGGGCCGGGCGTCCTGACCCGGGGCCGCGTGGGTCCTCGGTGGAGTCTCGCCGTCGTCTGCCACCGGGGAGGCGAGCGGCTCCATCGGCACCGCTGGCAGCGATCCGACCGACAGGTCCGAGGTGAGAGGAGAACTAAGTGCTTGCTGTGGTAGAAATGATGGATATCAATATTTACGTAAATCTCGTGGATCCTTTTGTATCTGCACAGAACTAACTTTCATCTCTCAAATAAGATCCATCCTATTTTTACGTGAATTATTTTTCTTTAACCTCTTTATTGGATTCTTAAGTATTTGTTTTAAGGCCTCATGTGCAGCACCGATTAGATGCACCGCCCGGCAAACACACCCGGTGACTCAAATCAAACACCCCCCCGAGGATGCGCGACAGGTGCATGCAATGATGCAAACTGCTGAAAAGCCCCCCTGGAGAACTCTGCAGCAATGTGTCGAAGCTCTGACCTGCTGCAGATGTTGCATAAAGGCCTCGTTCTGGCTCATCGAGTGGGTCACCTCCTCCACCACTGGGGTCGTTTCTGCTGGGGGCATCAAGAGTTTGGGGATCTCCACAGCTGGTTCCGGAGCCAGCGGTGGATCGGGGGGAGCTCGCGCGACCCGGATCACAGGAGGAGAGGAGGACGGCACCGAGACGTGCTGGAGGACTCGTCCGTAGGGCTGCAGCCAACAAGCAGACAAGCGGAGTAGAGGCGTTACGCGCAAAACCCGAGTAAACGTCACACACTGAGGTGAGGCCCCCCTGAGACACTCCCTCCGCTCAAGGACACTTCAACATGAGGACGGTCGGAGCCGGGGATCGAACTGCCAACATTAAGGATCAAGGACAGCGGCTGAAGAATAATCATCACAGCGTGATTGTTTTCTGTAAACATCATCGCGTGCTAACGCAGTTTAGCTGCAGAAGGATTTGACGGGGGAACTCCAGCGATTTTGTATATGGCAACTTTCATGTAGCTGCAAGTGGCAGATTAAAACAGTCGACGATTAGGCTGCAGAAACAAGTTGGATCCTACATTTCCCATGATGCAACTTGAAAACGTCTTTCCTTTGAACCTTTTCCCACGCTGTGTTCCCGGTTTGTAACTGTCCTGATGTGTTATTACTGATTTGTCAGATGAAATGACGATACAGAGAACCGGTCTTCATCTTCCGGCACCTTACTGACATAATATAACACTGACTGACTAAAGGAAGGGTGGCTTTTCCAAAAATATTCAATATTTTTGTTGAAACTCTTTATCACGTCTTGACAGCAGGCGACTAATACAACTCTCTAATAGCCTGAGTCTTCTACAAGCATCTAGTTTAACAAAAGGAGTACGAATGTTCGAAGGTCTCTTGCATTCTAATGACCTTTGGGGAGCGACTTGTTGGAAAAAGAGTGGGCGACACTTGGATGGATCTTTTGGTTGGATAATGTTTTTATTCCAGTGTACTCGCGCTAGTTTCTCCGCCTATCACGCATACTGATCAAGATTCACTAATTCTAAAGTCAAACAGGAAGGGAAAACAATGTACGCCGGCACCATTGAGCGAAATAGATCCCAACCACTGAAATACCACCTTGGTCGATGTAAAATAATATATTTATGCAGAAGATTTGGTGGCGCCTCACCTGCGGCAGCTGCTGGAGCGTCTCCTCCGAGCCGGTCCTCTCCTCTTGAGCGGCGCTCTCTGGCAGCAGCACCACGGAGGCCGGCTGCAGGCCCAGCTGTCCGTCGGCCACGCCACTCTGGGGAGGCGGAGCCTGGGCGGCGAAAGGCACACCCTGAACAACCGAGGGGCCGTTGACTATGGAGATGGAAGTGAGATCTGGGGGCAGCACCCCCGAACTGTTGATCAAGGTAATGTGGTTTCCGAGAGCGGGACTGTGGACCAGGGTGGTCCGCTGCCCCTGGCCTGCTGGAGCGTAGGTTCCCGCCAGCTGCGCTGGCATCTGGAAGACGGTAGGGGGCGCCGACTGCAGCTGCAGGGGTCCTGAAAGCACGGTGGCCTGGCGGAGCGCCAGCTGCCCCGACGCGGTGGTGAAGACGGGGCTGAAGTTCAGCCGCCTCTGCGGCACGGTCAGTATCTGAGAGCCTTCGACCAGCTGCCCGCTGGAGGGATTCACGCCGTGGCGGCCGGGGGTCAGCAGCGGTCGAGCCGCACCGGCGGACTGGGAGATGGTAACGGGGGACTGGCTCGGAAGAAGGAACTGGTTTTGGCCCTGGAAGAGTCCCTGAGGCTGCAGCACGAAGGAGCCGCCCTGGTTGACCAGCTGCAGGCTGACCGGCTTGGCGAGCTGCTGGGGGGCCTGCGGCGGTGTAGCCGCGGGCTTTTGGCCGTGAGGTTGGGAGAGCAAGATATTTGGCGCATTGGTCCCAGGGAGAAACGTAAGACCCGGGGCGTGTTTCGGCCCGGAGGGCTTGGGGCTAATCTGAACCAGTCTAGGCTGAATGCTGATGGGCAGCTTGGGTTGAATGTGGAGAGGGGCGCGCTGGAGGAGCAGGCCGGCGGCCCCCGCTGCTCTCAGGGTGGAGGCGATGAAGGGGCGGCTGGTCACGCTGGGGGCCGCCTTGTGGATGATCATGCTGGACGCCTGGGCGGGGCTCAGAGAGAAGGAGGTCTCCGGGGAAGCCGCGGGGAACACGTTGCCCGGCAGGAGCCCCATCAGCTGAGGTGGGCCAGTGGGTTTCAGAGAAGGGCAGCCCGGCCCGACGGCCAGGAGGGAGGGCTGGGGGGGCTCCACTGCTGCCTGGGTGTCTCGGGGCAACGCCTGGGCGATGGGCAAGGTCACAGGTTTGGGTGTGAACGGGAGGGGGGCCGGTGAGTACAGGGACAGGCTCTCCCCGGGGGCCAGTTGGGCAAGCCCCGCCTCCAGAGCCATGGTCTGCTCTGTGATCTCGGCCTCCTGCAGGCTCTGCTGCAGGATGTCACAAGCCACCTCCGCCTCCTCCTCCGCCACCTCCCCCTTCTTGGCCTGGAAAGCGGCCTCCACGGGCGGCCCACCCTGCACCCCCTGCGGGTCGTCCCCTCCGACCTCCGGCGACGACAGGAGGGCCTCCTCCAGGAAGGACAGGTCCACGCAGCCAGGCGGCGGCGTGCCGGGGGAGCCGCTGCCGTCTCCCAGCAGAGAGGCGGGGCTCTGGAGGCGGAGCGAGAGGGAGAGAGAACTGTGTGGTTAGTCGACAGGGAAGCACGTTTCAGGCTCAGGAGAGAGGGGGAAATGGCTGTGGGTCCGGACACTGACCGGGGCATCTGTGAAGAGGGAGGGCTCCCCGGAGGAGGAGCTGATGAGCAGGTCTTCAGTCTGCAGCTGGCGGGAGGAAATCGGGCGATTTTTTTTAGGATGGGCTCACAAAGTCGCGGCGAGAAATGAGCTCAGCGTTACATTACGACCCCTTTTTTTTTCGCACGGTCGGCCCTCCTGCACACATCGCACACTACTGGGTGCCAAGAAAAATCCCCACCTCAGTTTTTCATTTGCACTATTGATTATTATTAGAGTGTCTCTCTATTTAAGACTCTTTTGTCACCTCATTGGTCCCGTGAAGGAAGTCGTTCAGCGCTTGGGGGTCACTGCGAAGACAAAGAGAAGTCACAATTCAAACCGGTTAAATCCTTTTGGAATAGTTAAAATTGAACAAGAAGACCACATTAAATCTAAGACCCCTGCACAGTTTATTTAACAATTATTACGATTGTCTGGACCCAAGAGTCAGACAGACTCACCACAAAACATCAAGTAGACAAGTCCCATCTTCATCCTCCATGTCAACTAAGAGGAAAAGGAGGACACAAAACATAAAGTGAATGTAGATTATTGATTATTAACGAAGCGCGCGGTTCCCAAACCACAGGACGGGGGATCACTGATCTCGTCACCATGTCTCCCCACAACATGGACCTACACGGAGCGGGCGAGCTGGGTCCTGGTGGCGGCCTCATGGGAAGCCGTGGCCGGGCTTCAGTGTCTGGAGGCGGCGGGACGGTGGCAGGCCGAGGCGGCGGGACGCAGACGGGTCCTCCTTCTGCTGCTGGAGCATCGCTGCGTCTTCAACGTGGAGAAGCTGTGGGGGGGCACAGGCAGACCACCACACGCTGTCAGGTGTCACTCGAGGTTACCAGCAGCCAAAACACATTCCCATGCGAGATCAATACGTGGTTCATCAGTTTGCTCCTCTGATCACAAGGGTCAGTGTCCCTCGCAGACGTGAGACGTAAATAGACGGATCCCCCCCGCATGCGGCTCTCGCGTGGCTGGGAGGGGAAGCAATGTGTGTGTGTGTGGGGGGGGGGGCATTAAAGCCAATTATAACATCACTGCTCACTGCCTCGCGCTCCGTCTCCAGGGGAGGGACCCTTCTCTAAATAAACAACATCTGACGTTGTTGTTGTTGTTGTTGTTTTTCGCGTTAACACCCCGGAGGTATACCGCATCGCCCTCATCTAAACCTGCAGCGGCACCTGCATGCGGCTCTCCGGCGGTACCGGGACCGGGAGCGGGAGCGGGAGCCGCCGGTGCGGGCTGCGTGAGGTGGACGTGAATCCCGGACGACGCATGACGCGGAGCCGCTGTTATCGCTGCTGCTGGTGGTATTTTTTGTTGTTATTTTGATTGGTTTTGTCATCCCTCCTCCTCCTCCTCCTCCTCCTCTTCCTCCTCCTCCTCCTCCTCCTCCTCCTCCTCCTCGGCAGCTGACGGCTGCTGTAAATCATATCGCGGTAACAAAAGATGCCCCGTGTTAAAAAAATAGCGTTTCCACGCTGCCAGCCGCGAGCGATTCGCTTATCGTTGTGCCGTTTGAGTAATTCCGCGATTCGACCCCCCCCCCCGCCCTCCCGCCCCCCCCCCCAAAAAAACAACCAAGAGGAGGGAGAGAGGAAAAAAAACTCACCCCTTCTTTGTGGTTTATTGTCCTGTCAAGCGGGCCTCTGCGCCATCGATTCTCACTCAGTGGTCTTTTCAGATGCTAAAATGAGGAGAGGGGGTGGTGGGGAGGGATAGAGTCTGAGAGCCTGGAATGAGAGGGGGGGGGGTACCACCGGGGTGGGTGTGAGAAACAGGCTGAGAGAGCCCATCACAACACAAAGGTAGAGAGAGAGAGAGAGAGAGACTGCGTCAGGCGGTCACACACTCCGCACATCTGTGTCTGTGTGTCTGTGTGTGTGTGTGTGTGTGTGCGGAGCAGATGTTTTATTACCCTAAAATTGATTGATTTATCCAGAGAACAGTGAACACACCATTCTTTTTTAAATCAATATTTATAGACGTGCTGGTTTGCCGCTGAATTCGGTCATTAAGCACATTATCATCCTAAATGACGCTTTGCTGTAAACCGTTAAAGGGGGACAGTTTGAGTGAAACTCACCTTTTTACTAATTAACAGGTTTCTACAATCACCATTTAACTGCAAAATAAAGTGACAAAAAGGACAACAAATTGCTAAATACAAGAGACGGGGGTAAGAAATATTCATTTCATGTCATTCTTCAAATAAATAAAAATCAATATTTCATGATGTACTTCTTTACAGTTTTATTGACTGGAAAATGAGGAATTGTGCATCACAGCGAAGCCAATTTACATCCACAGTAAAACTGGTCTATTCAACAAATGACAAATGAAAGCGTTAAGGAGCCCAAAGGAGACGACAGAACAGAAAGGAATCAATGGGCGAAAGGTTTTGTGCTTTAGGGTAAATTTCCAGGAAAAGATGAAGTAATACTATTTTTAAATCAGTGGGAAATTACCTTGAATAAGTCTGCAGAAACGTAGCGCTTTGGCAGTCAAAAGTAAAAAAAAAAAAAAGAAAATTAGGAGATTAAAGAAAAACGTCAGAAAGGAAGGAGGATAATTCTCAGCAATTTAAATACTTGAATCTAAATTCATTCTAAAAATAAATCTCATTTCAGAAACTTTTTTAATGAAACTTTATTACGAAGGCAAATATTAAAATACAACCCAAATGAGTAAAAAATAAAAACTAAATAAAGTCACTCAAACACAAGTTAAAGATCGTAGAAATCATATTGGACCCCCCCCCCCCCCCACACACACACACGCCCCCCCCCACTTTTAGGGCCCAGGAGCTTCTCTTCGCCGCCTGCTGGGCTTGGGGGCGAAGACACACCTAAATCTTCTCTTTGGACCAGCCCTTGTTTGTGGCTGGTACCGCTGTGGTGCGGCGCGAATACTGAGACGACGTGAACAAATGCGTTTAGGATCCACGTTGGAGTTTGGAGCAAAGTTTCTCTTTTTAGTCCAGATTGAAAAAAAACATTCAAGAGACAAAGCGTCTCGTTTGGTTTCTGTTTACTCGGCTTCACCTCGAGGTCCAAAGAGAAGTTCAGCTACCAGGAAAAAAAAAAAAAAAACAGTGCTCAAGGACACTTCAGCAGAGTGGCTGCTTTTATACAACGGAATCACGCAATTTAACAAAGACGACAATGAGAGGGGCTGAATTCTGGCCTTTTGTACATGAGGCCAAACAACGTACGCAACCCAGCAACAATAACCAGCGCCTCTTGAAAGTAGACATGGGTAAAAATAATGAACAGTAGATCTACAATACAGCAGCAGAAAAGAGAACTACGAAACACAAGTTTTGTTAACTGTGTAGCTTTTATAATTTAAATGAATAAAATGTTGTAGTGCACAAAATGTAGTTTCAGGATAGTAGAGCAAAGTGTGTGCAATGTGCAAGTATTGATGCATAGCTTGAATTTGACTGGCTGTGTGGGACTATATGCTCTACGTGGAGGCAGAGACTTCCAACTTCTCTCAGGTGTCGTTATTATACTCTGAGGAAATGCATCTAAAAAAGGATTTCAAGTCAAATGTAACCAGCGTCATGGTGTCGAATTACAATAAGTGGAAACAGTCTGGGACACTATTTCAATTACGACATATTACGCACAACCACAGCTCTCGGCAGAGTATTTTCTAAATCCTTAATGTCGTTAGTTTGTGTCCTTGTCAAACCTACACCAAACAGCTGAGGTCGGCGAGGTCATCGATGAAGTCAAACAGCTGGCTGATGTCGTACGTTATCGACGGACTGTTGGGGTTCATTCTCTTTAAATGCTCCTCGTACATCTTACAGACACCTGTGGAGGAGACAGAGGATCCAGTACATTTTACCACAATGAAAAAAACATCTAAACTCAAATCACCTACATTAATAAATAAAACAGCAAACATAATGCCAAACCTTTTTTGTATTTATTGGACAAAATTTGTTGTGGCGTTTATTGTCAATAAATACATGACAAAAGTAGATGATTATATGACCAGGAGCCTGTTCAATTGATGACAATCTGTATAACAAGTACATACATCAGTTACATCTGATGCCTTTCATATAATTTGGACTAAATTTTGATGGTCTTGGTGGGTGATTTTCTTCAATGTGCCTTACCCAGAATAAAACAAAAGGTTTCCTGAAGTTCAGGTCAACTGGGTATACAAACAGATATTGAATAAATAGTCCACTCTTCACAGATACAGACTCACGCTAGTATGGAACTTTTTGAGTAAGATTGTCATTGTGATTTTAAAGCGCAGGTAATCAAGGGCTATCGTTTCACAACTGAGGGACGTGCACCCGCCATCTACAGTACGGGGAGGACGCGAGTGTTTTCTTGTCCCCACAGAAGATGAGAGGGAGCTTACCTTCCATGCACTCGTTGACAGATTCATAATCGGCGTACGTCCTTCCCTCGGGCCTCTTGGTGGGCTGCACCAGCAGGATGGTGTGAGACTGGGGAAAAAAAGACAGGCATTCATTTAGTTGCCCTGCTTTCAGGTTGTGACAGCAAATGTGTCTTGAATGTGTGAATGTCTTGATGTTTAAGGTCTGATGGAAGAATATTAGCGGTCTCAGTCTTATTAAATATCTCTGTTAGCAGCTAACGTTATATAGGTAAGATATTAGTTTGTAGCCATTGGACAAAACAAATTACAGTCTGAAATCAAATAATCTAGCCTACAGCTGAATGTTTATGTAGATTTGTGTTGGCCAACATCGACCGGAAGTATCAAGAACGTAGCAGTTAACTTGGATAACTAACGAATACACTCATAGATAGCTGCCGGGCTGGCGGATCTTCAGCGGTTTTTGTCTTCCAAAGAGGCTGCAGCTGCTCGTCTGTAGACGTCCGCACATTTATGCTAACGTTAGCCTTCAGCCGGACCGAACACCGGATCCGCTCAATTAAAACCGACACAAGGCTTTGCCCGCCAACGGTCTTCGCGAAGATGTGAAACATCGACAGCGTATCACGACGCACTAACCATGATTTTAATTGTGGTTTTGTTTCTCAGTCGGTGTACGTGGATTTTCTTGGAGCTCTGCGTCTTCTCGAACGAGTTGATCTTTGCCACCGGAAGAACAACTTGTCAACTTCCGTCTTTTTATTATTATTATTTTTGGTCCATTACGGTTTTACTTTCCATCGCTTACTTGTTTTGTCTGCTGCGTCTGCAAGCTAAAATTGAACAAACACATATATTTAAACTAGCGAAAATGTCCCGGCGTAAAGAACATAAAAAATAAATCTCAGAAAACGTTGTGATCCTCACCGACGAATGACGGAGAAAACCGGAAGTAGTTTACAGCAGCGACCGGAAGTTCTGTGTGAAGACAGGAACAACAAAGAGGAGAACGCGCCCGTCTTTTAAACCTTTACTTGAGCACACACCTGACTACAAAATCAAGGAAATTAGTCGTCGTTGACAGTAGGTGAGTTTACGTACTTCAAACCCGCTATTCGGGAATTGTATTTAGTTTGAGCCTCAGCTAGCTGGATAGCCATTAGCCACCCAGCGCGGCCGCAGCGGTATGGCTTGGTTGGCTAACTAGCCTTTTGCTAATAATGAAATACTTCTATGAGTAATACAAATCGCTTCCTTAATTCACAAGTTTCCACTGCGTGTTTTGAAGTGGCTACCAAGACACGTTAGCTATACGGCATAATTAATGGTTCACCAGATGATAGTTAGTTATTATTTCCCGGCGTTTAACCAGTAACGTGAACGTTAAATCCTCAATCTTCCTTCTGATTACTTGGATTTGACATTAATATAATGATTGCTTATGTCATATTTTATTGCAAACATAAAGAGATATGCCTCACGAGGCGTTACAATCTAGACAACACATAAAACATTCACTGATATATACATCATGCTAAATGTACAACTGTACCGTGTCTCCTTTTCTCTCTACAGGGCAAAAGAAGTTGGTTTGCATGTGAGGACAAGCGTGTCTGCCGAGCCAACCATGGCGAACCATGTGGAAGATATAGAAAACAATATGGTCAGTATGAAAGAATGGGACCACTACTTCTGCGTCTGTCTGTGTTGGTTGATGGTTTAACCGCTAACTGGTTCAGCTGAGAGCAACGAGTCAGTGATGAAAGAGTCGTCTTGTTTCCGCCACACAGCAGCTCATTCCTGCCCCTCTTGTTATGATGGTGGGGAAACACTGAACTGGCTGCAGTAGGTTATTAAGACATTGGCCAAATGACCCGTTTCAGGCTTTATGAGCAAATACAGAATCACAGCAGATAGAGCACCAACAAACTGATTCCTAACACACACACACACACACACACACACACACACACACACACACACACACACACACACACACACACACACACACACGCACGTCCTGGCAGAATTGTAATCCAAGGCGTGGCCTCCCCTCTGGTTGAGTAAGCAAAGTCTCCCTTTATAGCCACAGTCAACTTTACAACAGTGAGCCTTGTTTACCCAATAACATTTATACATATCAGTGGTAGTTCTGTTTTCACATACCGCAAAACATGTAGTATCCTTTCTTGGGACAGCATATTATGGTGTGTAAGATATCAGCTGGGTCATCAATCACAGTGTGATGTGTTTATTTTGATGCGTTACTCCAGGATCCTAACCGTAAGTTGGGAGCAGTATCTGTGTGCACCCGGTCTGAGTGCTTAATTTCTGTGCTTTCCGCATGTCTTGACTCGTTTTACCAGCCGTAGTTCATTCAGTCTCCTTTCGTTTCCTGAGTCTCTGGGGGAGTGGAAACGAGCTTGCTGTTGTAATCCTTTGGGAACGCTGTCCCAGTCAGCGTAAATGTAACAGTTAAAAGTTCTGAAATAACAAGCGAGGATTGTCTGAAAACACCTTGCTTCAGCGCTTGGTTAATAACTATAATTTTTTGCCAATAAATACAAATTAAATGCTTGAGCAGAGTGTTTCATCTAATAATACGATGGGAATGTTGACAACGCAACCTTTACAGAAACTATTTCTGTGGCAAATTCCACTGCCAGACTTTCAGATGGCGCTTTCTCAATCTCACATGGCCTCAAAAGGTAGAATTTATATTCAAGATTGGTTATGGGGCCAGATGTGAACCACAATATCCCTGTTTTGAGGCATTAAAGCAAGCACTGTCTGCAGGAACCTGAATGCTCTGGTGAGCTCACGTGTGAGCCATAAGTATGGCTTTTTGTTTGAGAGGAATGTCTCCAAATGAGAGAAAGAAGACATTTTCTTGTTGTGAATCACAGCTTGTAAATGTCTTTTGTTGCAACCCGCTCCTTATTAAATTTAGTTTCATACATATATTCATTATTCTCTTCCAGGGACAAAGTTTAACTGTTTTCCTTACCTTGTTATTTTGAAGGGTTTTCATAATTGTATAAATATATTTGAGCAGTGACAAAGATTGGACCTATTAGGTCAGGATATTCCCAAATTACTCCTAGTTTATCCTTGGTGTGGATCGGTGGACTATGCCTAGATGCATTATTTGATTAGGCATGTTCGTGTTAACTCTGAGACGTCCCAGAATGCTCAGTCCACCATCTGAATGTCTGTATGAATTCTATTACAATGATTCCTCTCAACATTCAGGATGAGTCCAATGTGGCCTCTGAAGCCACCCAGCCGCCACAGGAGGCCGCGGGGACCACAGTCCGGTCTAGAGGAGTCTCGGGAGGAGGAGGAGGAGGAGGCGGCAATGGTAGCGGCCCCGAGCAGAACGGACAGCCCGGCGCTGCCCGGCCTCCGCGGGTGGTGGAGACCGAGGAGGACGAGGACGAAGAGTTGACCTTGAAATACGGGGCGAAGCACGTCATCATGCTGTTCGTTCCCGTGACCCTCTGCATGGTGGTCGTCGTGGCAACCATAAAGTCCGTCAGCTTCTTTACCCAGAAGGACGGCCAGAGATTGTGAGTGTGAGAACTCGTACTGGACGGATCCAAAGCTCGTTTTGTCCCGGCCACTAGGTGGCAATATACATATATATATTACACCTTCATAGTACAAGACGGTGCTGTGACTGCAGGAGGTCGTTAGAGCGGAGTCATAATCTGGCTGAGTGCTCTTAAACACAGCATTTAATATCTGCAGCACTTTCCTCCAGCACTTAAACCTCCCTCAAATAGCAGCGTGCTTATATTCCATTATGAAGCGCGACGGTCTAGACCTGCTGTGGATAATAAGAGGATTTCTCTTATGATTCGGCAATGTACACATAAAGACATTTTTAAAAAAAGATGACATTTTTCAGCTCATCAGGAACCAACCGTGTTCTTTGTGTTCATTATATCTTCTGTTCTTGGCTGTTCTGACCCACAGGATCTACACTCCGTTCTCCGAAGACACAGACACAATGGGACAGCGAGCCCTCAACTCCATCCTGAACGCCTCCATCATGATCACCGTGATCATCGTCATGACTCTGGTGCTGGTGCTGTTGTACAAGTACCGCTTCTACAAGGTACGGGCCACGCGCTGCAGCGACCTCGTGGTGGCAGGAAGAGCGCCGTGTTAACCGGTTTCATCCGAGTGCTCCAGCAAGCCGAGGTTGCAATACACTCTTTAGTAAATAGGGAGTGATTTCCAAGTCAGCCAGGGAGTTTCCCTCAGTCAGTGGACCCCTGGGATGAAGTCCTCCACGTCTCTCCTGCAAATACACCGTTTTCCCAGGAGAAGTTTGGACTTGCTGCACAAGGCTGCGCCTGCTAATCAGATGGCTTCATCACAGTCGGTGTGCCAGTTCCAACATCTTGTTCCCGCTGCGTGTCGGAGCAGTGGACACTGCTGGTTTTGTTAGCTCCACCCGTGTTTGTTCTTTAATTGTCATGTAAAACATGTCTGCTGCTGGAAGATGTTTACAGATGTGTGTGTAAGATTAAGAAATAATTCAGAAAATGTCAATCAAGCACACTGGTGCTTTGAATAACCTTCAGCACTGCAGATTTTAACTTATTCCAAACCGGGATGCTCGCTGTGTTGTGACTCCACCCAAACTGGCTAGTTTGAACTATTTTCCTGTTCTAATCTGATGAAACTAAATGTGACTGATGTTTGTGTTCACAGGTCATCCAAGGCTGGCTCTTCCTGGCCTCCCTCCTCATGCTGTTCAGCTTCTCCTTCATCTACCTCAAGTAAGCGTCTCTCTCTCTCGTTCTCTACGGTTCCCACACTCTGTCCTCAATGTGGAGCACTTTTCCTCTTTGTAATGACGTTTGAAGTCTCTCTGTCACGTCTCTGCTGTCAGAGAGGTTTTCAAGACCTACAACTTGGCCACGGACTACTTCACCGTGGCGATAATAATTTGGAACTTCGGCGTGGTGGGCATGTTGTGCATCCACTGGACCGGGCCGCTGCGGCTCCAGCAGGCCTACCTCATCATGATCAGCGCCCTCATGGCCCTGGTCTTCGTCAAGTACCTGCCAGAGTGGACCGGCTGGCTCATATTAGGCGCCATATCCGTCTACGGTAAATCCTCCCCCCCTTCTGCTTCGTGCACTTTTAGGAACAAAGAGGAACTTTTTACCCGTCCTTTTGCAGATGTTTCTTTTTTTTCTGGTTCTTGAGGTAAAAAAAAAAATAATCTTAAAGAAAGGAATAGATGTGGAACCTTAGTGAAACTTGAATTCTTTACGTGGTAAATATGAAACCGGTATTGTAAAATGGTTTTATTTCCTGAACTTGAAAATGCTTGAAAGACAAATTTATTGGAGGAGGAAGTCCAGGGAAGTCGGTGTTGAAAGCTACATTTAAGACTGCAGCAGAAATATCAGTTTGCTTTTCTATGAGCTGATTTTAATGGAATAGCTTCATTTTAGTACTGCAGTCAGCAGAAATATCTGGCCACTGTAAATTCAATAGAAATCATGGGAATTCTTTGAGACGAGAAAGGCTGTTGGCCTTCTTCAATGTTCTCCTTCGGGGCGGTGGGACACGTGGAGCAGATCCCGGTCGGAGCGCTGCGTCAGCTGACTGACATCACCCGTCTGGCTCCTGTCTTCCTCCACAGATCTGTTAGCGGTGCTCTGTCCCAAAGGGCCCCTGAGGATCCTGGTGGAGACGGCTCAGGAGAGGAACGAGCCCATCTTCCCCGCTCTCATCTACTCGTGTAAGACGGACGCTGGTCATTTGCATAACGTTGTTGACATTTTAAAGGGAGGTCGGGAAGTTAAATCCCAGGTCGCCGCCTGGTGTTACTTGCATTCTGGTGATGGCACGAGTAACGAAACGTCTTCCGCAGCTACGATGGTGTGGCTCGTCAACATGGCCGACACCGAATGGCCGCCGAGGAGGAGCTCCGCGGAAGCGCTGGCGGCGCCGCCTCTACAAGAAGCTCCAGAAGGTGAGCGCGTGGGGGGGTGGGGGGGGTCAAAGGGGCCGGGTCCTACAGGGGGAACCTTTCAAAGCGCGGTGCGGTCAGACTTAACCGGCATCGCCTGTCCTCAGCCGCGGGGTCCCCGCCGCCCTCCAGCCCGCCGGGCGATGACGGAGGCTTCAGCTCCTCGTGGGTCGACCACCAGCAGCACCAGCTGGGGCCGCTCCAGACCACCGACGAGACCCGGCGGGAGATCCAGGAGCTGCCCTCCGCACGGCCCCCCGTGGAAGACGACGACGACGAGGAGGAGAGTGAGTGCAATTAACAGCGATCAGCTGGGAACAAGTCACGCCGCCTCCGCGGGACGTGTTATCGCCCTCGTTTGGGTTCACACAGTAGGTTAGAACAGTGACATTTTGTCTTAAGTCTTGTTATACCTTCAAATGAAAGGCCAATAACTACGTTACGATCCGTTTGGATCTGTAAGCCAAACGGTGCAATCATCCTCCAGTTCACTGTTCTGTAAAATACACCATCGCTTTTAAGTGTTCCTCTTTTGGGGAAACTAGTACGTCTGTGAACGCGACAACATGTTTGTCTCTTTATTTTAGACGGTGCACATTAGGAATCGATTCCTCATGAAAGGACCGTGTTTCATGTGCGTACTATTGGGAGGGGGGGGCTGCGTGCTTTCTGTGGGTTGAGCCTTTGGTAAATGCGGGCTCGGAGCTCTCGTTTGTAATTACAGTCGGGAGGAGCTTTCGATGTGGGGTGGAGGGCGATTCCCGTGTTTTGAAGTGACTCCACCCTGAGTGCGGTGTCCTCCTGTGTCCCTCAGGGGGCGTCAAGCTGGGCCTCGGGGACTTCATCTTCTACAGCATGCTGGTGGGCAAGGCCTCGGCCACGGCCAGCGGCGACTGGAACACCACGCTGGCCTGCTTCGTGGCCATCCTCATCGTGAGTGACCACGGCTGCTTATTTCGGTTTGCCGCCTCAAACCGCCTCTCGGAATCTAACCGAAACACTCGGTTGTGCGACGCCTCTTGTTTTCGTTCCACCAGAGTGGAATTTGTTCCTGTGTGCTGTTTGCCCCCTGTGGTTTACGTTGTGTTCTCCCGTGCCCCCGCAGGGCCTGTGTCTGACCCTGCTCCTCCTCGCCATCTTCAAGAAAGCGCTCCCCGCTCTGCCCATCTCCATCTTTTTCGGCCTGGTCTTCTACTTCGCCACAGACAACCTGGTGCAGCCCTTCATGGACCAGCTGGCGCTGCACCAGTTCTACATTTAGCAGGACGCCGCCACGACGACCCTCACCCACAAAGGCCAACCCCGCCACGGCGGCGAGGGGCGACGCGGGGCCCCCCCTCCTCAGAACTCACAATGAGAGGGACGCGAGTTGTTTTCAAGTTTGCCTTTTTTTTTTCTTTACGGCAGAAAAGCCGTTTTAAACCAAGAAGTGACATTTCTCGCTCGACCCACGCCGAGCGTTTTACCTTTTTTTTTTTTTTTAATGCGGAGGGGAGGCTTTCCTCTCGGCAGCAGCCCGCCCCACTTCTACGCAGAATCATATCTGGGAGTCGTCCCTGACAACCAGGGCTTTACAGTAGGTGCCTTGCTCAGGGACACCTCGGCAGTCGCTGCTGAGCGAAGGGAGACGATTTCATTAAATCTCCCTCGAAAGACTTAATACATCTTTAAACCCAAGATTCTGAAGCCTTGGTGCAACTAACACTGCGATGGTGTTGATTTAGATTTGTAGGTGTAGTCTGATTGATTGTGTACGAGCCGTGGTGAGTGTTTTGCGTCAAATCACATTTCAAGCCGGGGGGAGGAGGGGAAGGGAGGAGGGGAGGAGGTCACACAAACACTCACACCTGAGACTTCGCTGTCACGTGCTGTCAGCCACTGAGCAGTTCTGCTGGAGCAGTCGGAGGTTCGGTGCCTTGCTCGAGGGCATTTCAGTAGTAGTAGTTGTTGTTGTTGTGGGACAGAAATGTGCTTTTCGTTCTCTTCACTGACTGAGATTTATTTCGCTTTTGTAGCCCGTGAACATCTGGCCACAAACCCTGAAGCTTTACGCTCTAGCGGCGCTGGTGATGCTCGCCTGGTGCTTTCTGGAACTATGCTACATCAAAACACTTGTTTTCATGAAATGCAGAAGAGACTTTTTGAAGCATGAGGGTGAAAGTTAACGGGGTTAAGTGTGATAACAGAGACCTTTGACTTAAATGATGTGCATGTTCTTGAGATAACAACGCGCGGCCCTGATGAACGAGGGAGTTGTTAATCTGGTTTGATTTGATTCCCGAATTTGTGAAGATGTTTTGAAATCATTCTCCAATTATCAAGCAGTAATTGTCAATTTTAATTAATGTAAAAGGGAAAACAAAGCAAAAAGTTTAACTCCAGGTGAAAACATGTTTTGTAAAGTCTTACATGAGAAGTCGCAGATACACAAGCTGCTCCTCTTCTCTGCACTCGAGTTTCATTCTTCCAGAGAATGGAACCAGAGGGAACAATTTCAGTTTGTCCTGAAACCTTTTAGTTCTAGTTTTCATGGAATATGTTTGACGACTGTCTCTTTCTGTCCTTCACATGCATACGTGTGTTATGCAAGTTTATTCAAGTCAGATTTTGTTTTTTTTAAATAAATAATGAAAGTTAAAGTACTCTTTACGTGTTTTTGTTTTTTACTTGCTTCTGAGCGAGTCACCACTTGAATCGTGTCTAGAAATGAACCTCGATGACGTCATCACGGTTTCAAATTATGGGCTGGATTGAATGCTTTACTGCTCCCTTTAGGTCGCTGAACTGTTTTCATCCTTTGCTCAAGTTCCATCACGTCTCTCCACATGTACTCAAATATTATTAGCAGTATGAAAAATAAAAGTACTCGGTAATACTAGGAGGACCTGCTAGGGTTGTTGTTGGATTACTACCCCGAACGCAAACATTACTCTGAATGATACTGCAGTATAAAGTAGAGGAAGATGTAAATACTCAAATATAACACTTTCCGCAGTACTTGGATACGTATATTTAGTTGCTTTCCACCACTGGATAACTTTACAACACTAAACTTTTACCAGCTCTGATTCCCTCAGTGGAGCGGCACTGGTCTCGCTCCATCAAAGGTCAAAGGTCACTCCTGCCTCCTGTGCCCTGGTCTCCACTCAGCGGCCCCTCCCGGCGTTGTTGGCGCCCCGCCCCCCCCCCCGGCACTGGACGCATTAGCTGTCCCCATGGGGACCGTTTGGCCTCGCGGGCCGGGACAGTGGCACACTATGGCAGCTTACCCAGAATGCTTAGCGTCACACTGTGACTAGCCCGGCGGAGGCCTCTTCCCTTGCTCATGCGGGTCGCTGCTGCTGCTGCTGCGGCGCCGGTGAACCACACAGTTCCTCCAGCAGGCTTCTTCTGCTCCGGCACCTGTTCTGTTCAGATTAAGTCACTGAAGCCCTTTGGGCGGCTTTTCCCAGAAATAAAAAGGATTAACCCCAAATAAAGACTTAACCGAAGATGAGCGACGAAGCCCGTGTTTCCTCGCGTTGTGTTTCTTTAAGCAGAGTGACCATCACTGTCCTCTTTGTACACACGTTGGACTCGACCGACCAGGAGGCAACGCGGCAGCTGTCCCAGGATAGCTCCGCTAAGGGGATTACTGTGCAGGGCGGGACGTCCCCTCCGTGTGGGACGAGTGAGGAACCGAGGATTACGCCTCGGTAATCGCTCTCGACGCCGCAGAAGAAAGGAGCCAAAGCTCAGACACCAAGAACAGAACCCCGGGTAAAGGTGAGCAAAAGCACTTCGGAGATGTCCAAGGACAAGCTGGAGGGCCTGGTGAAGCGCATGGAGGAGACGCTGTCGGAGATGGAGCAGCTGAAGGTGCACTGCGGGAAGCAGAGCGAGGAGCTGAGCCTGCTGGTGGTGGAGGTCCGGAGGGAGAACCAGGAGCTGCTGGAGAAGTACAACCAGCTGGCTGCGGAGATGAAGGAGGCCAAGGAGGTCATCGAGCAGCTCATGGACACAAAACACGCCTTTAACGCGAAGGAGAGGCAGGCGCAGAAGCTGAGTCGGCAGCTCTGAAGGCCCACAGAGAGGACAAAGAAAACTGTGGACGTGACCCTGCTGGAGTCCCGGAGGAAGACTGAGGAAGACTTGGACGAGGCTGATGGAGGGGAAAAGCAGCTCCTTGCAAGATCTCTAAATACTGGGTGGGCACGAAGGCTGAACTGGGAACCTATAGAACGTGTTTTTTTTTTTGTCTACATATGTGTACATTTTAAGTAGGAGAGCTTAGTAATTTCGATGTTACGTGGATCCTGTGGCTTAGGGCTGTTTTTAAAGCCGTGGCTAGACTTAATGACCAGGAATCAGAGCTGGAAGACTCCCAAAAATGTGGAAGTGTAAAAAGAGGAAACCTGGTGGTGGTGGTGGGGGGGGGGGTCAAATGGCGTTGTGCTCATTAGGTTTCTATCATCAAACAGCAGCTGAGCCACGCAGCTCCTGTACGGATCTCATCTCATGTTATTCTGCAGCGTGAAGGACCAGCAGAAGTGGGTGGTCCTTTATTTTTAGTGTCTGTAGAGTCAAAGTGCTAAAAATACCTCTTTATCCCTCCCTACTTAATCTTGTGAGGTTGGAGACGTCAACCTGCCCCCCCCCCCCACATGGTCTATTATCCATGTGCTCCAATAAAGGGCAAATGCTCAGTGGATTCCTGAAACTGACTGGAAGCTGCTTTTTGCAACAGGTACAACTTGAAACGTACAGATATTAATGATGTGATTGGATTCAATGAAGCATCCATGTGCAGCTTTAAGCATGTTTGACACATAAACTAAATAAACCATTAAAATAGTCCCACTATTATTAGCCAACAGGTGTATGCGAGCGCATCGCACTCTGTTCGGGGTACTTTTACTCATAAAATACATTCACAAACAATACTGGTGAGTACATGATGGTGAACGTCATGCTACGAACCACTCGGATGCTGCTGCTCAGGCTGTTCAGAAGCTGTGAACGTGGTTTCCTCCGTGAGAAGGTTCAGATGAAGCCCACCGTGATGGTCCGTGGAACCGGCGAGGTGTTTCACCACGTTCCTCGCCTCCAGAAAAGGTGACGGTTACCCGTGAAGTGATTTTAAATGTTTACGCTGACTGAGCCATTCTAGGCCTCGTGATCCCATGTGAGACCGGATGATCAGACATGAGGGTCCAACGGGCTTTTGGACGATCTTGCAGGTCCGTGGCTCTCCGTTTATTTCACAGAACCTCCCGTCCAAGAGAGAGGAGACGAGGGGGGTTGAATCTCAGAGCGTATAGGCAGAGATTTAAACACAGCCTTGGAGTGGCGGTTTCCTCCTTAAAACCCAAAATAATCAAATTTATATGTTCTCAAACACAGTTCTCCAAAGAGCCTTTATGTATTTAAGGCCAGTCCTTTGAATGATGAAGACAAAGTTAAAGATCAACTTCAGGAAATGATGTATTTTTTGTTTTTGTTTTACCTTTATCGGCTCAAAAAGCGCACAAGCTTAAACATGCGTGATCCGGAGCAGCAAACACCTATTTGCCATGTGAGGACATCGTGGATTAACGTCTACCTGAGCGTTAACCCTCCCCTCCCCTCCCAGGGGAACACCGTTAGCTCTCAGCGCTGTTTAGCACTGTTAGCTGTTGGTTAGCATTCTGCTCAATGCCCAGAGGATGAACCCTACAGCTCGTTCTGTGTATAACGTTTGATTTGCATCTAAATATTTGAGCGACTATTAAAGGGATTCAATTATAAAAATTTAAAAAAAGTCACAAATTTCATATTCCAATACTTTGGTTTATGTGTAAAATACACCGTTTTCATAGATAGTTTGACTTGTTTCGACGGTAGTTGACACGTTGGGCCCATTTCAGCTAGAAATAGCCATCTTTGCGGTACGTGGAGTGGGAAAACATTACAGTGACACACAGCCGAGTGGGAATAAACCACGCTGGACGTGCGCACAACAAACGACCGCGTCGATTAACTGTTGCTGAAATTACAGGTTTAAAAAAAGTGCGCCGGTGACGCTGCGGAGAGAGAGGGGGGGGGGGGGGGGAGAGAGAGACACAGAGAGAGAGAGAGAGAGGGGGGGAGAGAGAGAGAGAGAGACATAGAGACACAGAGAGAGAGAGAGAGAGAGGGGGGGAGAGAGAGAGAGAGAGAGACACAGAGAGAGAGAGAGAGAGAGAGAGAGAGAGACATAGAGACACAGAGAGAGAGACATAGAGACACAGAGGCAGAGAGAGAGAGAGAGAGAGAGAACGAGGCAGAGAGAGAGAGAGAGAGAGACAACGAGGCAGAGAGAGAGAGAGACACAGAGGCAGAGAGAGAGAGAGAGAGACTCTCCTCATAAATCCAGAAGTCTGCAGAACCTCTCAGCAGCTCCTTCAGTCCTTCTGCTCCTCCGAAGGATCCACCGGCGGTTTTGGTCTCCAAGAAAAAGCGCATTTCTTTTATTTGCAGCCGTCAGACTCGGTGAGTAACCCCGGTGTCTCTTCTCGTATGTCTTTTAAATAACAGAATTTTCTGAAGCAGGAATCTTTTTTTTTTGCGCCGTGCTTTGACGGACTGAATCAGTTACGATGTGAAGAAGCAACTGTTTAAGTATGAATATGACGCAAAACGAACCTGGAATATTAGAGAGATTTAATAAAGTTGGAATAAAATGGCGAGAGCACAGAGACATTATGGGAGGAAAGTAAACGGGGAACCTTTATTATCATAACGATGACAGCTGGCTTTGGAATAATTGGTTGTTATGAGCTGAGGAGAAAGACTCTATGAGATGTTGAGCAATTAATTAACTTTTTTAAGGAAAAAATAAGGCTGCTGTTGAGTGAGCTCACAAAAATCCCTTTTCCTCACAGAGGTGTGACTCTGAAAAGCTTTGTTGGAATGTTGGATCCACACAGCTTCAGTGACTTTGGAGCTGCAACCGCGACTAATTAATTTAATTATCTAGTCAATTTCATCAACAACGTTTGGTCCATCAAATTTAGAAAAAAATATACAAAACAAAGAATTGACTCTTTCTCCAATTCCATTGTGACATATGAACAAGAGAGACAACTTTTATTCAAATGTAACAAAAAAAGATGAATAATGAATCTAAATGAATGATGTTCAACAACTATTGGATTAAATTACTTTCTGTTTCCGGCTTAAATGACTCTCTTCTTGATTGAAAATAAACTTCTAGGATTTCATCAGGCACAAACTTTACGCAGCTGTTTATTGTCTGTCTGCAGAGTAAAACCACAGAATCTGCTGTTGAAACTTCCTCTTGTGCTTAAACTAAATCATTGCCACATACAACTGATTTACACACATGGACATTTTTCAGGAAATGCTGCAGGGCAACAAAGCTAACTGCCAGCCAAGCCCGAGGGCTAATACGCTGTGTGTGTGTGTGTGTGTGTGTGTGTGTGTTATTGTTTCGTGTTTGTTGCTGTTGGCTCAGCTGAGAGGAGCCGACTTTCTGCCCCCATTTGTCCTCATAGATTGTGCTGCCTTGAACCTCCCATCAGTCGCAGTATCCACTCAATGTGTGAAAGCCTCTAGTCCCACTGACTGACCCTGGAAGTGGCTTTTTTTCTTTTCCCAGGGAACGAGATGCTCCTTCCTCTGGGAATCCTGCAGCTGCTGTTGGCTCCGGTGCTCACGGTAAACTTCCAGTCGACGAAGAACTGAAAACAAACGCACTCTAACAACTAATGCTGGGTGGAGGAACATGTTTTAGAATGTTAGACAACACAACTCCCTTGTTGGTCCACGTTGCTTTAGAAATGAGTGTGTGTACTGGTGTGTGGTGTCCAGGTGCCTGGTGTGGATCACTGGGACTCATGGGGTCCTTTTGGAGAATGCAGCCGCAGCTGTGGCAGCGGAGTGACCATGAGAACCAGACGCTGTATCACACTAAGGTACGTGTCCTTCCTACCTTCCTCCTCTATAAACCCTCCAAATGCCTCCTACCTTCCTCCTCTACTAACCCTCCAATGCCTCCTACCTTCCTCCTCTACTAACCCTCCAATGCCTCCTACCTTTCTCCTTTACTAACCATCCAATGCCTCCTACCTTCCTACTCTACTAACCCACCAATGCCTCCTACCTTCCTACTCTACTAACCCTCCAATGCCTCCTACTTTCCTCCTCTACTAACCCTCCAATGCCTCCTACCTTCCTACTGTACTAACCCTCCAATGCCTCCTACCTTCCTCCTCTACTAACCCTCCAATGCCTCCTACCTTCCTCCTCTACTAACCCTCCAATGCCTCCTACCTTCCTACTCTACTAACCCTCCAATGCCTCCTACCTTACTAATCTTCCAACGCCTCCATGCCTCCTACCCTCCTACTGCAATAAAGGCTCCATGCCTCCTACCCTACTAATCCACCAATGCCCCCAACCCTCCTACCGTCCTAATCCACCAATGCCTCCATGCTTCCTACCCTACTAATCCACCAATGCTGCCCTGCTTCCTACCTTTTCTAGACACCCAAAAGCGACCTGCCGTCCGACTGTGCTACCCTGGTAATGCATCCAGACAGCTTACTGTGCTAAGCCCCTAAGGCCTCCGGGCATCTACCCTGCTCAGTTGGAAATCTCTCTCTGCCTCCTTCATGAAAAAAGTCAAAGGCTGCGACCCTTCGTAGCGACTAATCCCTAACACGAGGTAGATTTCCTGCCCTCTATCTCTTTAAAAGATGTCGGCCTCCTTATTGTAAAGACTTCCAACCCCTCTTACCTGCTACCTTCTTGAA